GAACCGAGATGAAAGTATATTAATTTAAAGGATGATTTGCACTGGGGAATTTTCCTGGCAGCAGGGGCCTGAAGTCACAAAATTAGAAGCTAGCAAGCCATTTATATATGGAAGGAACAAAAGCGAGGAAATAGGCAGCAGATTATGACTCTGACTTGAAGTACGTAGAAATTCCGATGTCTGTTGAAATCTACCTGATATTGTAGGCTTACAGGTAATTCAATATATAGTTATCAGCGATTGAATTTGCTGTTGCAAAATCAAAGCTTTCGAAAGAGTTCTTTTTAAAAAAATAAGCAGCAGAACGTGTTCCAAAGTTTTCTAACTCGTCTTTATCTCCGGTTTCGGTAGTACTTTTCAAGTTGAACATTACCTTATTTATACTCAATAGGGCACAATATTCTGTTGTCCCTTAACAACCGACCTGGATGTCATCACAGTCTTTCGATTTTTATTTTGCATGCTAAGAGCTCTGTATTTTCATTTCGATCAATTTCTCGCAATAAACCGTCTTCACATATCTCCTGCACATCAGGATCATCATTACTACAGGCACGGTGCTCTAGATGCTGAATTCAATCATAATAATGTATTTTGAATTACAGATGCATTGGTAACAGGTATAAAATACGTTCATGATTCCGTGGAACACATTTACCTGTGTTATATTTTAGCGTCCTGTTGCACTGATTTAAGTTCATGATTTGTTTATTCCGTCTTGCAGTGCATACACTTATCTATCTTCTTCTCTCACTCTCACTACATGTTTCGGCATAAAAATGCCATCTTCAGGTGCTACTCAATTCACGTCAAACTAGTACATTGTATGCCTTGTCTTCACTTTAAAATAACTAAAATATATGTCCATCATATATATTGACAAATGTCAATCGTAAAAATATTAAAACTGTTCAGGATTCCCGATCGCTACGTCGTATCTTATTACGCCAGTCNGGACTGGCGTAATAAGATACGACGTAGCGATCGGGAACCCTGAACAGTTTTAATATTTTTACGATTGACATTTGTCAATATATATGATGGACATATATTTTAGTTATTTTAAAGTGAAGACAAGGCATACAATGTACTAGTTTGACGTGAATTGAGTAGCACCTGAAGATGGCATTTTTATGCCGAAACATGTAGTGAGAGTGAGAGAAGAAGATAGATAAGTGTATGCACTGCAAGACGGAATAAACATTTACCTGTTGTGATGGACTCGATGGCAAACGTGCAAGTGAAGCCTGCTCGAAATAGTGGCTCAGAATTTTATAACGACAGAGAAACTGTATAATTTTCATTGTTTTAGTGGAATGGGATTATTTTTTATACATGGCACATCTACATGAGGATTTGTAATTTGTTGACCGGTTCCATGGATATGCGATTCATCATGGCCAGTGCAGCGCTTGCTGCGAGGAGCATACGAATTTGGCCGATGAAGCAGCATGCTTGACGGCCAGTAACTTTCGGAATAAATAGAAGTTCTTACCTTTGATCACAGGTGATATTGAAAATGCTGTCCCTCTACCTGTAGACATTTCTCGCACCGGTGGAAAAGGGTTTGATTTACTTGCAATTTCTCTGCGAATATTTTCTTTTGGTTCTTCCATTCGGGGGTCACTGTTATAAACTTTGTCCTTAAAATAATCTCAAAAGAAATAATTACAAGGATTAAGATCGGGTGAACGTGCTGTTCAGTACCACTGTTGATAATTCTGTCCCCGAAGACATCGGACAAAGTTACATACACACATGTGCAATGTGGACAGTATATGAGTCTTGCCGAAACCAGCCATAGTCTTTCTACTTCCGTCGACTCTGGAAAGAATTGCCCAAGAATAACCTGTAAGTGTCATTCACAATTAACTGTTTCCTTAAAAGAATTGCCCAAGAATAACCTGTAAGTGTCATTCACAATTAACTGTTTCCTTAAGAACACAGATCTAACCATCCTTCTTGCACTTATAACACATCAGACACCAAATTTCACTTTCACTGCATCCACTCCATTTCTTCATAACCTAGTGCTTAAGCAGGGTGTGTGCTTTATGTCATGGCTTGTATAAATTAATGATTATCTTTTTAAGTCAGGGGAGAGAATTTACCTCTGGTGCACAGTGTTTTACTCTTGACATGGACAGTAAATATGAAGTAAGGAAAATCCTGAAAATATATGTATTACAAGAACAGTTTCTACAGTATAACTTATACACTAAACATGATCATCAAATTACTAAAATGTGTTTAGTTTTACATATGTTTCTTCTCACTTTACAACGTGTTTTGGCCATACATAAAAGTAACTGTAGTAAATCTGGATACTCAAATCTTATATTAAATATGGGACATTCATGTGGCAAAATAACGGACGCTATAGAGGTCATAAGGATTGGAAGGAAAAGCAGACATTTAAACACACTAGAGAGATATATTTATAAAGTATACAAGAACAATTTACGTATGAATGACATACACTTTGAGACACAATCCAATATGTCAGACTTTGTGATAAATAGCACTAGGAAGATATATAAGCAGGAACAACTACACTATGTTTAATATACAGGAAGACCGCAATAGTATCACATCTACGGGAGAAAGACGACAAGCAATAACATAAGCACACATAATTGTAACGTTTGATATATGAGGACAACATAATAAAAATCATGACGATATTTATACTAATCATACTAAGACACATTATCCATTGCACTATGATGGCAGCAAAAGAGCTCAATGACAGTGTTCTAGTTGTGAGATAAAACTAATCAATGACAATAGACAAGTGAACAGTGCAGTGGTCTCCCTGAAAACAAAAGGAAAATTACCTGATGATGGCCCATGTGCGGCCAAAACATGTTGAAACGTGAGAAGAAACATATGTTAAACTAAATACATTTTAGTAATTTGATGATCACTTTTAGTTACACTTTTAGTATCTTAATGACATTTTATGATTTTAATAACATCGTAAAGTATTAAAGTTGCACCTTTAGTAAGAAACATATTTTAGATGTCTTTTACGAGGGTAATTCAACGAGTAAGTTACAAACAGATATAGAACTTAAACAAATAAGAGTACTGATTTGAAAAATGCTTTTGTTTCTCAATATAATCTCCCTGTACATTGAGGCACTTGTCCCATTGTTTCACAATCCCCTGAAAACCAACAGCATAAAATTCTTTGGGCTGCTGTCGGAAGCAGGCGTGTTGCTCTTGCATGACAGCGCGTCCCCATACTGCCAACAAGAAAAATGAGACACTGCAAAATTTCAAGTCGGAAGTCCTTGAGCATCCTCCGTATAGCTCCGACCTTGCTCCAAGCAATTTCCAGTTGTTCGGCCCTCTTAAACCTCATCTTTCGGCTGAACATTTTCCCGATAATGAAGCTGTAGTAAGCGAAGTCACCGCCTGGTTCCGACAGCAGCCCAAAGAATTGTATGTGTCTCAGTAACCTCATACAGCTTACTTATACAATATAACATTAAGTGTACCCTCAATACACTCAAATCCACATTTCTGCAGTTTAAAATAATGATGCCGAATTTATTAAAAAACACATGACGGCATCGCAATTTACACTACTGACTTGTCATTCACAAGACCTCTTGATAATTCACTTTTGCTACATAGGCTGTGAAATAATTCCAGACATTAAAATCGACTGGAATTAGGTCTGGTAATTCTATCATACAACAGGTCAATCTTGCTCAATCATACAGATCACACCACAGTATACCTCACAATCCAATAGTGTGCTGGAGAGTGCCATAAATTATGAATGAGTTAACTACTCTGTGAAACAAGGTAAAGCTAGCCGTATAGCAGGCCACAAAGGCCCATAGGGTTGTGAGACCTCAAAGCTCCGACATTTTCTAGACAATCAGTTTACACATGGTGGTAATGATGTCAACCTTACGTGCCAGCCACCTGTTACCCTCAGGAAGATCCCTGGTTCTTATTTCTGTTAGAGGCTGAGTCAATCCCAGGGTCATAGTTGGGCTGGAAGACTTAGGTCAATTGAAAAATCCAATGATATCATCGGAAATCGAACCGCAGCCTTCCGACTTGTAGCGGGGTGCCTCAACCAACTACACTACCTCAAGCCCTATAAAAGGTGAAGTGACATTAAATATTTTTGCTCATAAATCCTCCAGTTTACTAGTTATGCTTAAAACTGCATTTGATTACCTTACAAATTAAAAAAATCTTACTGACAATTTCACATACCAAATTGATAGTTTATGGTTATTGAAAAAATTATATACATGGTTAATGGTTATTGGAAAAAATTATGTACGTAGTTAATGGTTATTGAAAAAAAAATACGTATGTGATTAAATTGGAATGTTTTTGAGAATAGTGTGCATAATAAACTTTATAGCTATATATCTTTAATTTACAAGGCAGTTCTGAAATTTTGTGTAGCCATAAACTTCGGGAAAATTTGTGATTTTTTTTTATGAGAACAAGAACGTATATAAATGGCAATCATTGCGAACGGAATATTAAGATGCAGGACTTGAGATTCTCACAGTGGTGATTATGAATAATATTTTCTTAAATGCAACGCCAGTATTTAGTGCTACGTGGTCAGTTCACTGACGTTTCGGAATAGCTTACCCTCTGACCCCTCTGACCTACATGGTTTCTCGTTTTCCGCACGCGGCTAGTCCTGCGTGTCGCATATCTCTGTAGCGCTCAACTCCCACGATACGATGAAGGCAGTATGTTCCTCCGAAATGTCGGCAAACTTTTACCGAACTACAAAGCGTAACCTCTTAGAATACACTGCTCTCCGTAATGTTCCGAATTCACATATTGTTATACGGTACACTACCATTTTCGGACTTTTCATATTCTTCTCGTAACTTCCTTTTCCCTTCGAGAGGGATATTCCGGGCCTTCTGGGCGCTGTGGTGTCTCGTGGTCCTTTCATGGTCGTTGTAATTATAGCCTCAGATTATCAGCATACGACGCACAGAACGGCACAGAGACACAGAGATACGTTGTTTGTAGGATAGCCTTCAACTCGAATACAAAGAGAAGGGGGGTTTTTCGAGCTTAGGTGTGAGCAGTAGAGAAGTAGAGAAATAGCTGCTGTTGTTTACGTATGAACTGTGAAATATGTTCAAAATGTTGATTTCATAATGTAAGCAGCACGTGCATATATTTAAATACAGTATAAAATAGTAAATCGAAAGGATGCAAAATTGACTGCACGTTTCAAGGTTCTTGATTTTTGTTCGTGGAATTGAGAGGTTATTGTTGCGATGTTGAAGCATGACTCATACAAGGTGGTAGATACTTCAAATTGAAACTTCGCTGACAGTCGTGTACATTTTTGACTGTAATAGTTAATCTTCAAAGAGTAAATGTGAGTGAATGTTTGCTGATATAAGAATGATGCATATTGTGGTTCAACTGTTATATTTATGGTGTAAGAAGTGCAGGGACAGTTTATGTGAGACGCAACAAAGACTTCACAAGACTTGAGTTTAAGTGTTATAGGTCACGCCATAGTTGAAGCGGTTAGTCGCTGGCTTCCCATCGCGGCGGCCTCGGTTAGAGCTTTGTTCTGGTTATGTGGGATTTATGGTGGACAAAGTGGCGCTGGGCAGGTTTTCTCCGAGTACTTTGTGGTTTCCCCCGCCAATTTTCATTCCACCAATTGCTCCACAATCACCATCCTTTGGGGCAGGTACAATAGGCAAGCAGTGGCTGCAGTACCAAGTGGCCCCAGTTATATATTGTTCCGTGTATTCAACCATCGCAGTTATGTAAATTTCGTTACATCAAATTCACGGGAGAGAATGCGCGTAGTTTGGGATGTAATGCAATTACTGCAATACAAAATAGAACCTGTAGGACATGGAAACTGACAGTAGAAAGTGTTGTAAATAAGCAAAATGCCTACTGTCTTTCAAAGAGCAGGTGGGTGATAACATGAAGGGTTCCTGATACCCACAGAATAGTGATAGTATGAATTTCTAATTAATATTGACATCCATTGCCTTTGATGTCTATGAAATGTGGTGGAACTTATATCTGAAATAATGGTTGAAATGTAGATGATTGGAATTAGAATCTTCTACATTCGATAGATATAGGAATGTGCCATAATACAAATAAAGGCCTTAATTCTGATATAAATATACATTCATATACAGTACTTAAAAATTTTCAATGATACTAATTTAATATGCAAAGTAGGAATGAGGGAGGAGATAGAGGTAGTCTATTTTAATTCAAGCTTATGTCTTTTAATGTTATATTTTAGCGTCCTGTTGCACTGATTTAAGTCCATGATTTATTTTATCCGTCTTCCAGTGCATACATTTATTTATCCCCTCTTTTCACTCTCACTACATGTTTCGGCATCAATGTGCCATCTTCAGGTGCTGATCCAATCCACGACAAACTAATTCATTGCATGCCTTGTCTTTACATACTAAAATAACTAAAATATATATTTATCATATATACTGACAAATGTCAAGTGTTAAAATACTAAAATTGTACAGCATATTTCTTTTCTACGTCGTGTTTCATTACGCGAGTCACGTCTATCATCCTCTGTTGGAGCACTCTCTCTTTCACTATCGTGTATTGTGCTCTGTGTTGCGTCTCGCTCCTGTGACTGCGTGTGTTATACTCTTTTAATGTTATGATTGTAGCTGTATCCTGTTCCCCTGTCTGATTCGAAACATTCTTTCTGCAAAGTTTGGAACCAGTTTTCTCCTTGTTGAGAGGGGTGTGATTATTGTCTTCCCATTGTAATTTGTTGTGTCATATAACATAGCATATAATGAGTTTGGACCATATAATAATTTATTATCATCTTACTTGACAGTACTTTTTCAACCCCCAACAGGATACATCCATTACTGGTACAGTGTGTAATTTTCACACACTTGGTCTATTGTTGGATACAGATCAGTAATACATATTACTGTCTGCTTATGACTTTCTCATCTTGACCTTTTGCCTGTGCCAAAGAAATCAAATTTAGTGCCAGGTTAAAATTATCTCCATACATGAGCTTCATGCAATAAAGACAATTAAGTTAGGTAGCATTGTGTCAGTTTAGGGTGATTAAACATACCACAATTTCCACCTAACTTCATTACTATGTGCTCCCACCATTTCTTGATCATATTTTACACGATGAAAAAACACCCGATTATAATTGGTGACTTATCCTTTCATCATCTTACTTCTATCTTGTCACTTCTTTTTTTGTGTGTGCATTGCTGTTTGTAAAATTGTTGTGTGATACTCTAATAATAAATAACTTTTTGTTATGATAGCATTAGAACAGAAATATTTCACTGTTTGCAACAATCCACAAAACATATTGTCACGTATTTATTGATTAGACATGGAGTTTGAATTGGTGACTGGATTTGTTGAACTCTTACACAGCTTATGACTACACATTACAAATTTATCATGCACACTACTGTTCCCAGTTATCTGTGAGTTCACTAGACATTGCTTCACCACTGTCTTCATGAGGTGTTGCTACTTAACATTTCCCAACAATGGGGATTTCTCTGTGCCCACACTTCTGCTGGGGGGTGACTGACGGTAACCTCAGACACAACTTGGACTGGGTAACTCAAGTCATAGTCAAAGTTTTGTTACAAATAACTGTCAGTCGGTCAGTCAGTCTTGGTGTCAAGCCCCTTCTGGGGCCCAAGATCAGATTTTTGTTACTTTCAGTTAAGATTTTCTCAATATGGGGCAACCTCTCTGACAAGGGGGCTGGTCTGTTATTTGTTGCAGAGTGTATGAACTCTTAAGCATTCATTTTGCTTCATGACTTTTAATATAATTGTTGTGATGGCTACTATTCTGCCATCTTCTGACTTGGCCCCATTCAGCTCAGGCATGATGTGCTGAAATGCCACTGTGACTACTTTGAACATGTTGTTCAGAGACAAACTGTTTACATTAAGAGTCTGAACTGACTGACTTGGTACTTGTTGGTTGTGCCTCAATGGTCATCTCCTCTGGCTCCACAATTCCATTTTTGAGCAGACATGTCACATTGTTTCATTCTTAATGCTGCTCATCCCAAGCACCCTGTAGATTTACTGCCCCTTCTTCGTTTCTGATATAACTCATGCTATAAAGAGGAAATATTAAGCTGCTGAGACAAGAAACATTTAATTTCCTTTCAGACTGAAGTAATTGCAAATGCAGCTAGCTGTAACTGTCTTATATTCCAGTGTTAACTTAAGCATAGATCTGTGTTCTTGCAACTGAAAGTAAGAATTGTTACAGCTGTATAAGACTCTTACATATTGATCTCTTTATGTGTGCTGTATATCATTTTATGCCCTTTGCTTTTATGTATGGAAGCTGTAAGCCAAGATTTCTGGCTAGAATTTTGTTTGTGATCATGCCGCCATCATCATCATCATCGTCAGTAATCTGTCAGACGACAAGTCCACAGTCTCTTCCAAAACAATTCCTCCACTTAATGCGATCTAGAGCTTTCTCCTTCAAATGACAGTATCCTCTTCTGTCCCCAAGGTTATCCAGCATCTTCTTACGTCTTCTTCCTCGTCTTCTTGTCACTTCTATCCGCCCCTCTATCTTTCCTTCGATAATTTCTTTTAGAAGGCAGTTTCTGCATAAAACATGACCAATCCAATTAGCTTTCCGTTTTCTTATTTCGTGTAGGATATTCCTCTGCTTACTGACTCTAATTAACACTTCTTCATTTCTCACATAATCAGTCCAACTGATCTTCTCCATCCTTCTCCAACACCACATTTCGAAACTTTCCAGATGTTTCTGTAGAAAATTGCATAAACATGGATTTATACTTTTTATTTGCTTTTACAGTAGTACATTTTCAGTGCTACTGGCATTGAAGTAATCTATGAATGTTGTGTTTCTTGTTTTGATTCAATCCAATTTGTTTGTTCCAAGAATCCATATTTCATTTAAAAAGTTCAGGATTACAAGATACTTCACTTTTCTGTGTCTTATTGTTTAAAAGCAGAAAATTCAGTCTGTGAACATTAAATTAATCTCTGTCTTTCAGTTAGTTTTCTATTAAGAGTTCAGGATTACAAAAAGTATTGACTTTTTATGTTGTTTTCTTTTTTCTGTGAAAGCAGGAAGTTCAGTTTGTAAACACTGAAATTCATTTCAGTCTGCCCGTTATATATTAAGAACCGATAACACTGGCTCTGCACTGCTAGATGTGTGCAGTCTTTGACCACTTGAACACTAAATATTGTGGATTTGGATTCCTACACAGAGCAGATATATGTTCATTATTTTCTGTGTTGTCTTGTAAAGACCTAGTGATGGACCAATCCACATTGAACTGTGGAGTACTCATAGATATCTAAAAACCTTATGCTTCTAAAATTAATTTCAATTTGGAATATGCTCCAACAGCTAAAAATTAAGTTTTTGAGATGAACGAAATCTCATTCTGTTCCGAATATTCAACCTATTCTCTAGAATTGTCACGTGTTGATAGTGTAGACATTAATTTAAAATAGATGAAAAGTACTGAAGTTTATGAATGTTTATTACCATAAAAGGATGTTGTTTAGGTTGACATCAATGTAATATGCATAATTCTTATAGTAAACACGTTTTTTGCTGTTATGTGACCTCTAGAATTGTTTGATTTTCACAAATCATAGTTTCTTTGCATTTTGAAATTTCAAAGTTTATGTAAGAAATTTTGAACTCTGAATTTTCTTCATTTCATGAGCATTGTTTGTGTTCAATTTTAGATTTTATGTAGAAAATTACTTTTGACAATGGACACTGTAAGAAGAATGAGACTGCAGACCTTGCGAGAGAAGATTGTGCAAGATGTACATGTCGAGTACATTTTAGATTATCTCATTTCTAAGGATGTCCTTTCTGAAGATGAAATGGAGCGTATTAAAGGAGAGGTGAGTCTAGAACTGCACTTCAGTAGGTTTAGTCTTTATATGTTCCTGTGGAAGAAGGAACATACCAATATATAGAATTTATATAAATACAGTGTTTCTGGAACGAGTAAGAAGCACTGGAATAGCCAGAAACAAATGCAAAGTGGAATTTAGGTTTTCACGTTGGTGGTTATGAAGTTCTATCTTCTGGGATAGAATGCTGTTCGTGCACCTTGCTTCATGGTGGTTTCTTGCATGGCTTACTCTTCAACTGTGATGTGATATGTTCCTCAAAAATATTGGTTGACTTTCACTAGACTGCAGGACAGTACACTTCAGAAGACTGAACTCTTCAGATAATAAGAGATAGGAAACATTATATATTTTAAGATCAGAGTAATTTGACCATGTTTTGCAGATGGGCATTATAGCAACTTATTTCTCTATGATGTAGTTGAATATTTTCCAACAGTCTACAGTAATGCTGAAATGCTCACTTTTCATAGTGTTTTTATACCTACAATTTTAAATATCTGTTTCTCTTTTCCCCATTTATGCCACAGACCTCAGTGTCCTTTGGTTAACTATTTACCTTTGCAGTACTGGTAAACTACAAATTATGAAGTTTCCATTATGTAATTTCTCTGTTCCCCTTAGGTCCATATCTCCTCATTTTTGCCATGTTCACAATGAAAAATTGCAGAAATATGCCTGTCTGTCCACATGTAACAACTCACAAACTGTTAAGTGGATTTACATGAAATTTGTTATTGGGGAGTTTTACTTTCCAGTTTTGGTTAAAATTTAACAACAGTAATGACGTGCATGTCTCTGTACCATCTGACATGTAACTTGCTGAAGTATTTGTTTGAGCAAAAAGTGTTTTGAATGAAAGTTATAGAGGAAAATTATACATTTTATGTATGTTTTATTTCTGTAATTCTTATGGTTTTTGAGATAATTAGAAGTGGGCGAATACACCAGAATTATGCTGTGTGTACATTTGGTAACTTATTTGTGCATACTTTTAGTCTCTGTCCTTCATGAGCAATACATTCCAGCAAAGCCTTTATTGAGTTTCTGTCCTAAGAACATTCGTACAGTGGAACCTCGCTTAACGAACATAATTCGTTCCAGAATCTTACTCGTAATGCAAAACACTTGTTAAGCGAAACAATTTTTCCCATATAAATTAATGTAAAATACAATAATGTGTTTCATGCCAAAAAAAAAAACTCAAAAAATTTCATGTATAACATTTATTCAAAGAAAATTATATATACATTGTTAAGGGGCGTGAATCATCTTCATCTTTTCTTCTATGCTGAATAAACCAACCTGGAATGCGAATTCGATTTGCAGAAAAAAAAATTGAAATAATTTGGTAACCTGAGAAAGGTGAATCAGTGTTTTGGTTTGCATAGTAAACCATACCGTTATTAACACCTGAAACCACAGAATGCATTGTTGGTTAAATGTTTTATGAGCCCCCACAATCCATGCTCTAAGACGGGGGACTCTACATGTATACAGGCAATGCATGTTGGGCTGATAAATCATATATATAATATTAGAAGTGAAAGTCTCACCCAAGCTCTTAAAGGGAAAAAGGACCAAAAGTTCTGGTTGGCTCATAACTTCATCAGCTGACTTTGAAAAATGTCATGAATTTTGGCTCACTGAGCTGACAAATGGTCCACTGATCTAAATGAGAAGAAATCAGATTTGCCATTCTGAAAAGTAGCACATAAATTGGATTATTGAACTGTATCTGTTCAGTAGAGTATGGCACAAGCACTTGCAATAAATGTTATATTCAGAGTCAAGTATGAAATTATTTGCCAGGAAGACATTTTTGGTTTTCACCGGTGACAACATTTTTTGACCCCTGATCTTAACTTTACTGTGTTTAATTACTTTCAGAAAACTCGTAAAGATCAAACACGCCACTTACTGGACATCTTACCCAAGAAGAATATTGATGCATTTGAACACTTTGTTCAAGCCCTAAAGGGTCCGTATCCATGGCTGAGTGAACAGTTAGAGGCAGAGGGTCCAGAGTCATATCAAATTGAAGAGAAAAGTTTCTTTGACAGTTTGCTCTTAGGAGGTTTGCCTCAGTCTCCTCCACATAATGTCGAGAGAAAAGAAAAGGTGGAGTATGATTTATTGTACTGTTTGCATTTATTCAAACAACTATGTTAAAGGTGTTATACATTGCCTTTGCATAAATGTGTGGCGTTAATGCAGACCTGCATTGTGAACATGCGGGGAGGGATAAAATGAACTTCTCATAGTCTGTAGTTTAACTGTTACATAAATTTGTGAAAGATTTATACCAGCAGTTTTTGTTAATAACAAACTATCTGTATAACAGATGTTATAATGATGGGTCAGTTTTTTAAAATGTTCACAATTCTTCGTCCAGTTCTGTGTATGACCATACGATTATTTACAGAGATCAACAAATGTAAGCTTGAATTACCAGCCACTTAAAATTTTTACTTAAGTAACCCAAACATTTCATTAGGAAATATAAAGTTTTTGTAATATATAGGATATAATAATGTAATATTTGCCATTGACAGTTTTCAACACATCACAGATGAATAGTGAAACATATTTGTAGGGCTTTACTTATTCAGTTCATTACTGCTAATATCAGTTTTAAGAAAGTTTCGCTTTACTGAATGGAAACCGAGTTCCCTTACTGGATATTTTTGTATATTTAGTAAAAAGCAACACCTTCAGTATAATTAAAGGAAACAAGAATATATCGTGAAAAGAATTAAGCATGAAACTTATGCATATTTCCTGTATTAAGCTTCCACTCCCAAGACTGCCAGTTCAGTGAACTGCATAGTCTGATTCATTGTCAGCGTGTCTGCGTGTGTGCATACGTGCGCATGTGTGTGTATATGCTCTGGCATGCAGAATAGTCCAAAAACCCCTTAGTCGTGTATGAGATAGAACACAGAACAATTTATAATACTGCATTTAAGCATCCTGTTGGATTAATATATTGTCACATGTATTAGTGACTCACAAATGAGGTTTGGATTGGTGAATCAATTTACTGGATACTCACGTCCTAAGGACAAGTAATTATAACACTCTCATGAATACTGTAACTATAACACATGAAATAACGCCATCAGCACTTTAATTATTCAGCTACCTTCTGAATTCTCTTCAAGTGATGGCTTATCAGCTGTGGCTGAATATCTCATGTTTAACTCTTTGACTGCCTGAATCCTTTGAGTCATCTTATGTTACGACTGACAATCAGTTGGCAGTCTTTCTTGGAATAAAGTGCCCATCTGGGGCTTACGACCAGTTTTTTGTTTCTGTCAGACAGTTGCAGGTTTGTTGATGTGGGGCGCTCTCACTGACAAGAGGACAGTTCTGTTGTTTACAATTGCTGCTGGCCCTCACGAGTGCAGTCATTCTCAGGTCTGAGTCCCGTGGGACTTGTGACCATATTTTACTCTCTCAGATTTGAGACTTCCTTTTTCGTTGCCTTCTACAGCTTGGAGGTACCGGTGGAGGTGTTTGACCCCACAAGCTGCCCTATATTTTATGGCTTTGAGAGAACTGAATATAGATCCTGAATCCTTTGGTCTCACCTGGTCTCCTTACATAACCCTTCAGTCTACCTCATTTGTCATACTGTTCGTAGCAGTTAATGTTATTGCGATCCTCCATTGCTGTGCTTTCAGCAATTCGCTGCCATGGATACTGGCTTTCAACAGTTAAAGTTACACTACATGCATTGATCTTTAGCAATGGACACCTATTTTTGTAGTGCTTGGGAATGCATTCACCCAGCCGTTGGCTGGCAATGGACATTTGCTCCGACTTCACTATTCCGGCTTTCAGGTGCCATGTCACAATATTTATTTTGTATACATTTATTTCTGTCTCAAATGCAGCTTATTATCTTGTTCCGCTTCTTTATCACTACATGTTTTGTCCATACATGGCCATCATCAGGTGCTGTCTGTCTTGCCAAAATTGTTTGATTGTATGCTAAAATTACATATCACATGTGGCTGTGATGTTTTTATTAATTAAAATGTAAAGTTTGAATTAAGTTTGGAATTGAAAATTAAAAATAAAACATTCCATTTTCATTGTAGTCTCCAGCTATTCTTTGGAACATGAAATAAAAAATAAAGTAATGTACAAAACAAAACATAACAAATAATATGCATATAATAACACTACATTGACATCTATAGAAACTGCATAAATATCACATAAGTACAACTACCAAAAAATCTCAAAACTTAACGAAACAAAGAAATGACAAAACACATTATTTACGCATTACAGATAATACGCATGCCATGATAGGGGAATGCAGCACAAGACCCAATATCAGCAAATACACCCACAAATAATTATCTTGCAACAGTAGCTGGAGACTAATGAAAAATAACATGAAGATGTTTTAATTTTAATTTTTAATTGCAATCTTAATTCAGACTTCATATTTTAATTAATAACAACACGTGATATGTGATCTTAGCATACAGTGACACAATTTTTGCAAGATAGAGACCACCTGATGATGGCCATATACGGTCGTAACATGTAGTGACGGAGAAGTGGGACAAAATAGTAAGTTGCATTTGAGAAGGAAATATGTATATATAGAGAATAGAAACAGAATAATTTGTTATAAGAAAAGGATGTTTAAATGGCACTTGTTCAACTGTTGCGTTGCTCTTCAGAATTCTGAATAGCACTGCAAGAGATATGCAAGATGATATTAGGAGCCAGGATAGCTCAGTCAGTATAGCAATGGGATATGAAGTTGGACTGTCAGGGTACAATTCCAAACAGAGGCAAGACATTTTTCTTCACACCAAAATATCAAGACTGATTTTGGGGCCCATCCAGCCTCCTATACAATGAGTACTGGGGACTCTATCCAAAGAGGTAAAGTGGCAAGGGTGTGAAGCTTACCACTTACCTACAATAATGCTGAGGTCCAGGAAGATGGGGCTGTACCTCCACTCCTCCATATGTCTTCATGGCATGGTGCTTAATTAATAGAAACAGCTTCTTTACTTGCTTCAAAGATGATATTAATTTGGAAATTCCACATTGAGCATCAGTGATTGAAAGTTCATACTCATTCATATAGAGTTATAGAGGTCTGCTTCATGGCAGGAGAAAACCATTATGGAAACTACATCCAGTAATGGAAGAGTGCTAATAACAGACTTGATGTGCTTAATGTTGTGGACCCTTTGCATAACACATTTGTCAAAATGTCAAATCCTGTTGCAGATCCGTTTCAGGAATTTGTTGTTAATGTGAACTGTATATCAATTAAACTACTAAAGTGACTGAAATAATTTTATGTTCTCTGTTTTGCTTCCACCACTGCATCAGGTTACGTGTGGTAAGTATGATATGAATTTGCTCAGCATTGCATGGCATTCATTTGTATTTTACAGGCTTTTTTTAAGGCCCTATGCATTTAATTTCATCAGAATAGTGCTGCACAGATGCTGAGTATGTACAATAGATCTTTTCCAACTAGGAGTTACAAATTAATAACTACTGTGGTGTAATATTTTCAGAGAAGTTAAAATAATTTACAGTGAGACCTTCCTGTATTTCAGTATTTTTGTCAATTTTGGACAGGTTTTTATAAAATACATGCACTTGTAATTGTACTCTTCTCCAAGTATAATTAGAATGATCAAGTCAAGGAGAGTGAGGTGGGCAGGTCATGTAGCATGAATGGGGAAGACAAGGAATGCATATAGGATATTGGTGGGGAAACCAGAAGGAAAGAGACCACAGGGAAGACCAAGGCATAGGTGGGTGGACAATATTAAAATGGATGGTATGGTATGGATTGGTTAGATCTGGCTCAGGATAGGGAGCAGTGGAGAGCTCTTGTGAACACTGTAATGAACCTTTGGGTTCCATAAAATGCTGGGAAATTCTTGAGTAGCTGCAGAATTGGCGGCTCCTCCAGAAGGGCTCAGCTCCATGAGTAAGTAACATGCAATTGTAAATAAAGGTAGTCCACAGTGCATTCTCTGATCCACGTCATAAGTAAAAGAATTAATACTACTAATGTACATAAGACTGTTTTCACTTTCTTTCATTCTTTCTTTTCTTCTTTTTTTCATTAAAGTATTCTGCTTACATTTTATCAGTAGTTGAGTGTCTGTTTTTTCCATTTGTGACTGCCATTTTCCTTGCTGCTGAATGCTAGGAAGTTCAGTACAGAACAAAAATTTAAGAATGGGAAACAAATTTATCTCAGTAGCCCCCCCTTGTGATAATCTTCATTCTGTGCTTGCATGCATTTATGTATCTGAGAAGACCACAGTCTAAACACTCGACCACTGTGAAAACCTGTAGTGTTTTGTGATGAAGATATATTAATACCCCCACTATATAATGTTATAAACATATAATTTTGATCATAGAAACTCACGTACAACTTTGTAGAAATTCTTTATGCATACACTGTCCTATCTGTACAATTTTTACACAGTTTTGTTTTCTGTTATTAACATGGGAATTCCTGGGAGTAAAATTCCAATTGACATGGCTTTGCCTAATATTCTTATGCTGCTTAGAGGACAATAAGTATGCTTCAGATTCCTCTCTTAACGTAACTTATCAGTGTTCCAGCTTTCTCTCACAAATATAGTACCTTCAAATTTTGTAGGGTTAGATGCCATTTAATGGATTTATTCTTTTTTTATAGGTAGAAGAGGTTCGGCAACATTTGCATTCTCTCAAGAGAGGTCATTATGTTGTTCTTCATGGAATGACGGGTTCTGGAAAATCATGTCTTGCTGCTGCAGCACTTGACAACAAACAGCTTGTTATTGAAAAATTTAAAGTAAGCGCAGCAAGTTACTCAAATGATGGTACAGGTATCGCCCAGTTTATGAACGTGACTTATAAATTCTCGCTGCAGTGAATTATGTTGATTTGTACTTTTTTTTTCACTTATTGAACTTTATTTTAACTGCAGTGAGCAACTTAAGTTTTCAAGGTCAGCAACTACTACATGTAAAGTAGTGGGAATTAATTTTTATTTATGAATTTTCATCTTATAGACAGTTTTCATATAACAAATGGTCTATGTAAATTGAAGGATAACCATATTTTCATTCATTTCTCTGTGATGGTGGTTAGATACTAGAAGCATGTTATCATGGGGATCTGGTACAATTAGCCAATTTGTTGCTGCACTAGCAGAAGACTCAAGACTCACCCTACACATATTATACATCATTTGAAGCTGGTACCAGACAACTGGAGAAGACGCAACATATGGAGAAGAATTAGTGCTTACTGTAGTGAATTGCATAGTGTGTGAATTTGTGATAGTGCTGTAGTTGCTTATAGTTATGGTCAGTAATTGTTCAGGAAATCCAATTGCCAGTCCAAACCCTGCCTATATTCACTTGTCAGGTTACAATATATTGGAGCATAGAATGCTTCAAAGCAAAAGTTTTAAACAAAATGAAGCACATATTTCATGTTAAATACTCTCTCTCTGTAATTCATATGGTTAAGATGGACTGTTAACATTATGTGTAAATTTCCTTCACTACAGGGATCTTCCACCCACAAAATTTGCAGAACATTCAACAATGATTTTCTGAACACATGCAAAGATTATCGGTTATTTCTTATAGTGATTAAGACGAGCTTCTACCAGGTTGAATTTATAGGTCTACAAGTATTCAAATATAAGTTGATTGAAAATATATTTGATTATACACACATGCACAGAGAGGAGCGAGGGGGGCACCAGAGCACATATTCACAAGATAACATTCATGAAATACACATCGCTGCAAAAACAAAGCACATGCAAGAACAACACTATGAGATGCAGTATGTAATTTTATATCATTTTAAATTACTCTCAAAGTATTTTTATTCATTAAATTATTTTAACAAGAAACAGTTTGGTTTTTAAAAATCATCAATTTTTGTATGTACAGGCCTCATGGTCTATATAGTAATACACTGCAGAATAGTATGTAAGATTTGAGGTTTTCACGGCAGTGACTATGAAGAAGGAAAAATATAAGAAATCCGCAGGCGAAGAGACCGTGAGAACCGGTAAAAGCAGACTTCTACCCTGAAGATGGAGGCGATACGTTCCTCCGAAACATCTGTTAACACCACATATACATGGTGCCAAATCCCAGAAGACTGCTTTCTTTACAGAATAGTAGTTTACAAAAGTCATTATATATACTTGATGGACCTGTGTGGTTAAAAGATGTTGTGAGTTTATATGAAAGCTTGAGTGAAGAGGCGATTTGACCAATAATCTGTGAATTTGCATTGAAGAGTGTTTTACACACCCACCCACACAAGTGATACTGCTACAGTATAAATTATTGATGATTAGCATTCATGAATTGAAAGTCTGGGCACAATAACAGACCAAATATGCTGGAATGTGTGTACATTTCTGAAGTTGCAAAATGCAATCTTTGGCCACTGCAGTTTTGTTGCTTAGCAGCTGTTTAATGCATCAAGCTGTCAGTGTGCAGTCATACAGTGGTAACAGCAAAACACTGATCATTGTAAATATATGTTCAGACGGTAGTCATGATAAGTAAATACTCTGATTTTCTGTACATTTTTTTTTTTCCAAGAAAACCCCGGCCAAGGAAAAAATGTGTCTACTTGTGTGTGTATAATATGATAGGCCTGCTGTGGAAGTCTTAATCAGGTGAACTGAATTAAAGTAAAGTGTTTAACATTGATATGAAGGCTTAAATATAATTTAATAAATATTTCTATTAAAATTCTTGTATTATTGCACTGTATGCTTGCTACTACACAGACTTCTTTGTTCCCATATTTTGTAGACATCTTGCCTTAAACAATTGAACTACATTGAATGTTGCTTTTCCTACACTAATGTTACTTTGTATCATCCTTATATATCTGCCTGTGTTCTTGAAGCAATGAATGTTGTTTCAGGGTGCCGTGTATTGGATTGGTGTTGGTGACATAAATACGGAAAGGTCTGGTGATCTCCTGTGCCATATGACAGATCTGATGGAGAAGCTAAGTCATCATCCAGAAGTTGAACTGAAGAGACAGGTTCAGTCAAGTACTAGTATTAATGGAGCAAGAGAAAGTTTACGCCGATATTTTACAAGTGATGCGCTACGTGAGGGTCTTCTTATACTTGATGATGTTTCTTCCCCTGAAGTCATTGAAGCATTTGATGTAGGATGCAAGATCTTGGTGACCACAAAAGATAGCTGGGTCATGAAAAGTGTTGAAGGACGACAGTGTCTCGTTAAGGTATATGTCTATATATTTACTTGAAGGAAACCACTTCCAAGCCAAAGCAAAAACTGTAGTATGAAACTAATGATACACAAGTTCTATTTGTGTATTTTCGTAAGTTACATCCTGTTTGTATGGATTTGACAGAGTTTTTAGGTATGTAACTGTCACACAAAATAATATTGCATTAATAACTTACCTCATTAGTGTTTTTACCACTGCATGTTTTACAAAATCATCAGGTGGATAATCAGTAACACAGATATAGTAAAAATTGCAACTTTCTGCAGTGGTTCAATAGACCCTATCTGATGTGGGATCAATCACTGAATTTTTACAATGTTGAAAGTTGTATGATCTTGTAAAACATATTAATAGGTAAATAGAAAAAAATTACAAAAGATAGTCTTAAAAGTAATATTTCATGCAGTAAAATACAGAATAGTTAAAATTCACCCAATCTTCTATATGCAGAATAAGAATTTTAAATTATTGATTTTAGTCGGCTCTTACACTCTGTGGTAGTCGCTAGTTATGCTTTGGAGTTGCATGCAGCTTCCATCTTCAGGAANGCCAACAGAATACCATGATATTGCTGCTGAAACCATCACAGAACCTCCCCGTGTTTCACTGTTGGAACCAGTCATTCCAGGTTGTAGGTTTTCTTGGGCATTCTCCAAACATAAACTCTTCCTGATGTAGNTGGTATATTCCATGGCCCCTAGAAGGGCTAGTTGCTCAGCTGTCCCAGCCTGCTATCCCTGTTGGCTCAGACAAGCACTGTCTCCACTTACCCTATTATTTTCCAAAACAGGATCCTAGGTATACACAGAAACTTCCCCCCTCCCCCATACAAACCTTGACCCTGATGTCAGAGACAGCATGTACATCTGATGTCAGAAACATTATCCACATGTGCATAGTTTCACAACCTAAGAACAGAATTAACATCAGGAATCGTAAATGTTACAACACATGCAGCCACATAAGGACACGTCACAAGACACAGTATACACAAGATACAGGAAGAACGACTCCCATGGCGGAAGATTGATATAATACGCGAGTTTGAAATACGACGTATAAGATGATAAATCTTAACAAATTTTAATATATAAATTTTATTATAGTACATGACGAATACATATTTTAAATAGTTTTATAAATGACACATGATGGCAAGCAGTGCAATAGTTTAACATAAATAACACACCTGAGGATGGCACAGTGATGCCGAAACATGTAGTGAAGTGACAAGTGAGATTGTGTGCACTAGGAGATGGTCAATACGTACACATCATGGATCTTAAGTGTTATTAATACCAAATCATTTTGTGTTCTTGACATGCAGGGGTTGGACAAAATACTGGAAACACTACAGGTACTGTACACAATTCTATATTAATATGGTGTTGCACCACTTTTTGCTTTCAGTACAGCAGCAGTCCTTGGAATTGACTTGTACAAGTTTTGAACAGTTTCTAGCAGAATTTTATACAATTCTTCTTGAAGAGCATCTTCAAGTTACTCTAGAGATGTTGGAGATGGGAATATGTTCCACACTCTAGTGCCCAAAACTGACCAGAATGGTTCAGTGATGTTTGCATGCTGGCCTTGGAAGATGTTGAAGTTCACGTTCATGCTCTTAAAACCATGACTGAACAGTTCCAACTTTGTGAAAGGGGGCATTGTCATCTTGGAAAACTGCATCGTTATTGAGAAATAACATTTGGATCATGGGATTTACCTGATTCACAACCTCTCCATATATTCCCTTGCAATAATTCGGCCATGTAGGGCAATAATGGGGCCAACAGAATACCATGATATTGCTGCTGAAACCATCACAGAACCTCCCCGTGTTTCACTGTTGGAACCAGTCATTCCAGGTTGTAGGTTTTCTTGGGCATTCTCCAAACATAAACTCTTCCTGATGTAGGGAACAATGCGAAGGACTGACTCATCTGACCATATCACGTGCACGTTTCCAGTTGTCTGATGTCCAGGTTTTATGGTCGTGACACCATTATTTATGCATCTGAGCATCACTTTTAGTAATGAGAGGTTTAGCGATTGCAGCCCTACCATGGATATTGGATTTGCAGAGCTCATGTTGAACACTGTGGAAACAGGATCCTCAGAGAATATTTAGTTCTGCTGCAGTAGTACTGTGATTTTTTTTTAGACATTCTTTCTTGATATATGTCAATTTCTTTGTGTTGTTGCTGATTTTTGCCTGCTGTTTGTGTTCACTGATGTCTTCCCATGATTCGTATATGCCAACATGGCCTTAGAAACTGTCACTCTTGACACACCTAATCACATGTCAGTCTTTTGTCACAGGTGCTCAGCTAAACATGTACCAATGATCTGTCCACTTTCAAAATCCAACAGGTTCCCATTTTCCAATTCTTTCACATGGACTGTCTCTCATCACAGTCGCTCATTCTCTTGACACGAGCACCGCAGACTGTAAACAAATGGAGGAAGTGCATTCAGTGTTGTTGTCTGTTTCATTGTAACCAATAGAACAAATTCTGTTCCTCAGTTTCTTAGTGTTGCCATTATTTTGTCCACATCCTGCATATACCTAGAAACTCTCACATTATTTGCACAGAACCCTTTTGGAGGTCATACTAACTTCTTGGTGTAGTATGATTCGTCAGGAGGTAATTTCTTATACAGTTCTTAGATTATAACTAACTGTACAGAGTTCATTCTCAGTACGGTATGTTTCATTTTTCTGTTTGCAGCACTTCAGGCTTAATGTTGTGGCATATAGACCCATTGCTGAGCAGTGACTCTGGAACAGCGATCGTTGCTAGCTAACGCCCACAATTTACATGCAACAATAGAATGGTGTTTTGTATGTGGTCCATGCTGCGGCTATTGCTATGCAACTGCAATAAACACACCCCAACAACAATAGAGGGGCTGTGTTTTCTGTATGGTCTGTGCTGAGGAGTTATCCTGAAGATTGTTCCATTATAATTAATTGAGAGTTCACATGTGGAGCGTTTACCAGCAGGCCTTAGCATGACCACGGAAGTTGAAGAATCTTCAGTGCTAAGATTCATTACCAAGAAATCTGTTGAAAACTGCAGAAGAATGGCCTTTGATGAGAGCTGTTACTAAGCAGCATCTAGTAGAAACAGACTGAGAAGACTTAGCGTCGAGTGATTTGTAGTGTGGAAATCATCAAGTGTTATAATTATTTGTAGTTCTGAGTGGTGTATACAAGTGAACAATAAACGCAGTGTCCAATCCATACCCCGTCTCTAGTCACACACCCCCAAAATCATCATAATATCAAGTGATGGAGTGACTATAGATGGAGGTTTAGAGTATTGATTAGATTTATTGGCCACTTTTGCAGCTCATGACTGCACTTGACAGATCACTGTCACACACAAGTGTTCTCAGTCATGTTGTGTGGTAGCAGATTCCAGCAGCAGACGTTGCTCTGCTTCTGAGCTCATGTCCTTACAGGGTGGTGGTCATCTCATGACAACTCATCCTCTGATTGCTGTCATCACTTCCTTTACCTGCTAGCTTCCAGGCTGGACTGACTTCTAGGTGCCAACTTCAGCTGTCAATTTTCGACTGGCTTCCTAGCTGAACTGACTGCCTCCCAACTGCCAAACTAACTGTTTTCCAACTGGCGAACTGACTCACAACTTCAGATCGACTTGTTATACGGCCTTAGTACAGACTACATAGAAGACACCACTTCCAACAATTACTGTATTGTATGTTTACAAAGCTGTTACCTAGCAATAGTTTTTCTCTGGTCTCTTATTTAGTCTGTGAGGCTATATGTGATATTACTCCCTCCCTAAGGATGCTCATCCCAAGTAGCCTATTGGTGTGCCGCCATTCTTTCCATTTATGAGGAGAACACTTATGGAAGTGGCTGGTGTTCCTACAGCGCCAGCATGCAAGTCACTAGTAGTCTCTTCTCTGCTTAGGTGGTGGCCGACTCTTCACCATGTCCAGTAATTAACTTTCCACAGCCCAGTGGAGAGGCTGACTGTTTGCTTCACCACCTTAAGTCCGAAAGTCTGCCTGATTGTCTTGTTGAATGCCTTCTTGCTTTGTAGACATAGCTACTCATTTAGGCCTCAGCCCCTTATGTTGTTGTTACATTCCAAGCCATTCTCTTATCCCTTCTTGGCCATCAGTCCTTTATGACTGTGACCCTGTATGTCCCGCAAATGGCACAGCAGGTTAACCGCCTGCGGTGCCTTACAGCCAGACCAGTCCTTCAGTTCTCCAATCATGTCTACTACATCTTCGCTAGGAGCTTCCTGATGCTGCTCTGTGACCTCTGTTTCTTCTGGATTTGTCTCCAAATCCATGACCTTTACTTCTAGGTCAGTCTTATTTTCAGTTTCCCTTGGTTTCTGGCCAGTCTCTATCCTGGTCTCTGTCTTCCCTATGAAGGCCCCTGCCTCTTCTCGGCAGGCCTTGCATGTCTTTGTGCCAGGCATCCGTCCGGGAAACAAGACAACGTATCTGGGTTTTCATGTCGGCCATCATTTCTTTGGGACTGGCCTTTATTTTTTCTTGACTTATGTTCATCTTGGCTTTCATTTCTTGTTGAGTGGTCTCTGTCCTGGCTTGGATATCCATCTGTGAGGTGAGAGCACCTCTTCAGGTTTTCATTCATCTTCTTGACTGGTCCACATATTTTCTCAAAGGACTTCAACCTTCTCATTATTTGTGTCTGTCTTGGCTTGGTTGGTTCGTATTTCAGCCAGCAGGCATACCATCATCTGCTCCATCATTTGTATGATGTTGTAACCACACAACGCAGTCTTCAATCCAATTATCAACCAATCCAGTCCCACTTCTGACACCATTTGTCACGTGATGGAAGTACTATAGACGGGGTTTGGATTGGTAATTGGATTTACTGGATACTTTTACAGCTTGTGAGTACACATTACAGATCACTATCACACAGAGACTAATGTTGTCAGTTATGTTGCTTGGTAGTAGCTTCCAACAGGACATTCCTCTGCTTCCGGGCTCACGTCCTTACAGGGTTGTGACCATCTCATGCCAACCTTGTACTCTGACTGCTGCCTTCATCCTGGTACTTCTTTCAGCTGCTAGCTCCTAGGCTGGACTGACTTCCACCCTCCAACTTCAGCCATTAGTTCTCATCTGGCTCCCTCCTGCTGAAGTAACTCACAACTGCAGATTGACTTGTTATGTAACCTCAGCACAGACCACATAGAAAACACCACTTCCAACAGTTACTCTGTTGTTGTATGTTTGCGAAGCGGTTGCCTAGCAATGCTTGTTTCTATGGTCCTTTATTCTATGTGTGAGGCCTTATGATACAATATATCATTACCTATGACTCCTGAATCATTTAGTTGATTACGATGGAATTTGTTGTACTTAACCAGTGATAAATTTAGTAAAGTAAAATGGATTTTGAGTCACTTCATTTCATTGTCAATATGTGAAAGTGAAAATTTCACTATTGTCTCATTCAGTTTCCAGACTATTTTCACTTAATAAAATTCAGTACAGTGTTACTTACCTTTATATTGTCAAGGGAATAAGATTTTGGACCACACTGATATATCACTCTTGCTGACACACAGGAACATATGCACTGTTCTCATACTGTATGGTTTTCCAAAGTTGTTTCACTGTATGTACTTATATAATCTTGAGAAGTAATGTATTTCTGTTCTGCATTGAGTTCATACTTCTGCGTGTTGAAATAGAATTGTATTAAAAAACAAGTACTCATGTATTTTTTCTCAGTCAGTTAAGCATTTCATACAACTCATGTACCGTAACAAGAACTTACCATAATACATGTTTGCGTACTTCGTTGACCCCATTAAGAACAACAGTCATGAAATGAAGACTTGAGTAACATTGCCTGTAATAAACAGAAACCGTGAAATAGATGTCAGAATGAAAACTGAACTTCAACAGATGTTTCCTATTCATATAATTCTGTTCTGAATTCGTTCCTAGAATTTATCTGGGAAGGAATGCTCCCGTCACACATAGGAATAAATTGAACTCAGTGTTACCTTCATTCATTATACAAACTGAAAGTCGTCTCTCTTCTGACTTTATAGTCCTACGTTGTCACTATATAGAAGCTGTTAGAATAAATTGTTTTATCTAAGAAAATGCTGTCTCATCATGAAAAATGGATTTTTCTCTCTTTTGCAGAACAATCAATTAAGTGGAGTTTGTATTGTGGTATGTGACATAAATATATAACAGAAGGAAACTTTATTGCAGGTTAGTGAAGGTTTTTTGGAGCAGGAGTCACTGTGTTTAATGGCCAAATGTGTTGGAGTTGATATATCTCAGCTGCCTCCTCAAGCCAAGAAAATTCATAAGTTATGTAAAGGTAATGCGACTGGTTAGATAGTAAGGGAAAACAATGTAACATGCTATCACTTTGATTGTGCATAATAAAAAAATAAAGGGGCAAAGAGTCTTACATATCTTTGGTATTTTATGCTATAAAGCTTAGGTGGGTCATGGCAAGAGAAAATGTATGAAGTATGAGATAAAGTGAGAAGACGCTGAAATGCTGATAGTAGTATAGTACACCAAACATTACAGTGTCCAAAGCTAACCTCTCAATTCCAATTAGTGCCAAGATGAAGACTATATAGAGCTATACGTGCACTCACCAGTACATCTCTGCGGTGTAGTGTGTAATTAGTTAAGCAAAGGGACAACTTTACCTTCTTACATTTTACCTGTTGTTTGATGCTATGTAAACGGAGATACTGATAGCATTGTTAAGTAAGCTGTAAGGGAGTAAAATACAAGACTTCCCACCTGCAGTGAACCAGCTCTTAAAGCAACTTTTTTAGATGTTTATAAAATGACATAAACTAAATATTAATGTTATTTAAAATTGTAAATAAAGTAAAAATCAATTTTATGATATTGTAGGTATACACATTCAAGTAGAAAGTTCCCCGTGTCTTATCATTGCACTTGCATGCACATACACGCGCACACACAGCCTCTTTGCAATGTACCTCTTTTAGGATGTGGAATCAGGCTTGAAACTGTAGTGAGATGTTTAATGAGCATGGAATCAGAGGAGTTTTAAGCTATGTTGTATCTGACATTCTGAAAGCAGAGACCATAAAGAGTACTATTTTGGTTATAATGCCACTCTTCTCTGAAACACTGGTGGACTTCTACCAGACTGCATGGTGTTGCAACTCAGAATATCATACTCTTCAGAGATACAACTGCTTACTATTTGAGTCTAACAATGACTTGCTTGATGTTGCCATGTGTTAGAACAGTGACTGTGAACACTGAAAGATATGGCATTTGCAGTTGGATACTTCACTACATATTGTTCTGACTGGCTGAATTTTACTTTCACTCAGTGCTAGCTTCATGTAAGAGTACATTAAATTAACAAAAGTATTTTGAATTTAACCTGGCTATATTTCCTACCCCATGCAAGTGTAATGGATAAGAAGTTTCGTGCACATATTTGTATGTCTTGATCATCAACCAGTGATAAATAATTCATTTTCTACAAATGTATGTTAATTTTTCAGGTGTCCCCATGGTGATTGCACTAATTGGAGCACAGTTGGCAGATAATAAAGACGATGTGCAACGAAATCCTGGACGCTGGAATTATTATCTTGATACCTTAACAAGGCGTGATTATGGGTATGTTTAGCCTCCCTATTCATCACAGTGGATCCCACAGGATCAAGAAATATAAACTTAAGCAGGAAAACATCCTGAAAGGACTAGCTTCGTCATGTGTACAAGATTACTTCTGTCCCTTGTAGAAAACTACTGGAATACACATTATATTTTTCACTGAGTAAATAGATAAAAACACACAAGATGTGCAGGCTTTCTGATGTATGTTACATGTTCTTGTTGTAGTGGTTAAGGTTGAATAGTTGGTTCTGAAATGTTATTCTTTCTTAAAGAATATAATATGTCTTAGATTGTTTGCTGTAGTTCATTTTGAAACAAATTTGAAGTAAAATTTTCCAATTCCCAGAGCTTTCTGATGATTAACGCTGGAACATCAGGAATGGCACATGCTTCCATCATCTGGATAAAATATATCTTTTACCCTGAAGATGGAGACAGAATATTCATCTAAATGTTATGGAAATATCTATCATAGTACATAGTGTTACATCCCAGAAAACACTAACCTTCATTTTCTTTTCCAGGAAAATAAAGAGACTTAGTTTTTCCCAAGAAGATGGCATGCTTGGTGCTATTGGACTCTGTGTTGATAATTTGCCAGATGATATGAAGTGCTTCTATCACGATTTTGCTCTCTTTGTCGAGGATGTGAACATCAGACCAGAGGTAAAGTTGTTCTTTACTGGGGGCCGCGCCATAGCTCAAGCAGTTAGTCGCTGGCTTCCCGCTGCGGCAGCCCGGGTTCGATCCTGGGTCTGGTCACGTGGGATTTGTGGTCGACAAAGTGGCGCTGGGGCATGTTTTCTCCAAGTACTTCCATTTCCCCTGCCAATCTTCATTCCACCAATTGCTCCACAATGACCCTTACCTATCATCTGGGGCTGGTACAATAGGCCAGAAGTGGCCACAGTACAAGGGACTTAGTCCCACACCACTAGCAATAAAAAAATGTTCTTTACTGTAAATATATTGCTTTCTTGTCATGCACATGTAATTTTCAGACCTCATCTGGTTGCAGGACTGGATTTTGTGCTTCAGCACTGGTTCACAGCCATTCTAAATTTTAGCGTATGCAGTGTCATGCCAACCACATATTTCAGCTACCCATGGATCTCTATTTGTATCTAGTTTCCCTAGTCATATTTGATTTTATGTATCCAGGGTTTTAATATGTGTACACAGAAAAACTGGTGGCCTCCTACACTCCAAGATGCCGACATTTGTTGGGGCAGAGCTATAATGACTGGTTGAGTCCAGTCCAGATCCTTCTTATTTATGTGAGATTAATTTTAATATTATCTCCCATGTATGGTCAGATTTCTGAGTATGTTCCCACTTGCATAGTGTTCCTTACTGTTCCTTCTGTAGTAGCTTCCTTCTTTCTTTCTCACCTTTCCTCCTGTTGTCTATTGCTCTATTTCTTCTGTGCTCTTTGTCTACAACCCAACTTTCCTTTCACAGCTTTCTCTCAACTGCCTCTTGCTCTTTCTGTCTCCCACTGCTTCCCTAAAGTGTACTCTTGCTACCATTTCTATACTGTAGAATGACTTCTTTCAGGGCCTATGCATGTTACTCATTCCTTTGCTTTTCTTGGCTCCCTCTGAGTTTCTTTAATTGTCTGTAGCTGCTTCCATTTGTTCTTGTTTGTTCACTCTTAGTTCCTTTAACTACCTATTTTTCAACTTGATGTTCGGTATGGTTCATTCTGCTTACTCCCTGTTTTTTGCTGGTTACCTGCATGGCTTACTCCTTGACTCTGAAGATGGAGGCAGTATGCTCCTTCAGAACATCAGTGAACTGCCAGGCTACACTGCATATTGTTCCACAAGACAGTCACTGCTGCGAGAACCTCAAACCCAACCAGAATGTAATTTGTATCAAAATATTGAAATATGTTTGAATATGGTTGTTTCTTATAAAATTTGCATTTACTTTTCCATCAGAAATCAGTGTCTCCCAGATAGTGGTTCTGTTCTTAACTTTTTTTATAAAAATCTTCGTCTTTCAGGTGCTGGAAACACTTTGGTCACGAAATAAATATGAAGTGGAAGATATAATGAGTGAGTTTCTGAAGAAATCCCTTGCAGTGTCCAAATGGAATGNTTCCCCACAGTGACCAGGCTGCCTCTGGGGTCCATCCAGCATTCTCTGCAATAGGTACTGGAAGCGGGGACTATTTCCCCCTGCATAAAGCAGGCGGGACAAGAAGCTGACCACTCATCTCCATGTAAATTTGAAGTAAAAAATGGTGGAGCTATACGTCCACTCCCCCACCCCATATAACTTTGTGGCATGATGATTAATTAATTGAGTACAGGGACTTCAACTTTCCATGGCATCATAGTACTTTTTTCATATATATATAAATTAATTAGGAGCCTATTCTGATCAGAGTAAAGCAAGTTTTGTTTGTTTGGGAAGGTCCTTAATTCAGTGTGGTTGAATTTGCATGAGTATGTATATGTATTGTGAATATATATTTCACTTGTATAATATTTTTGTTTATTTCAGGACCTGCATAGGAAACTTCTGAATTGTTACAAATCTGTTTCTGGTGGAAACTTTTCAAATCTTCCTAATGATAACTACATATATTCTTATATCGGTCACCATTTGAATGAAGCGGAGATGTGGTCTGAATTTCCAAATCTTTACCTGGATCTTGAGTTTATTGGTGCTAAGTTGAAAATTACAGGTCCAGGAGATCTTTTGGTTGATTACAAGAAGTACGGCAGTTTCATCACTGGAGGAGTAAGTAATGGAATTACCTTGAAGTACAGTTTGAAAGCTCTGGAATTTGGGTACAGTTTGAAAACTTTGAAGTTTGGGTGAGGCAGTGTTTGTTAAATGAAACATTACTCATGTATTGCCAGATAGTTTGAGACTAATAAGATAATTGAGTTCATTTTTCATAGGACCTGCCTGCCATAAAAATTGGTGTCCACCATGCATATTATCTGGCAGTTAGTTGTTGAAGGGCATAAGAAATTCTGTATAGTGATGGTTAAAGCACATAATTTGTGTTGCATTAATACATTCAGCATATGCATGTAATATTGTACAACCATATGCTCATATATATATTTGTTTTCTGGGTAATACTTTCAAGATTTCTCTTATGGATATGTGGTTTTTATGAGTATAGAAGTTTCTCTTGCCACATACCATGACTCCATCATTTTCCTGCTTCCCAGCAGTACTCTCCCCCAGGCACCCATGCCATTTTAAGGACTTTTTGTTTCTCTTGTAACACTCATCATACAGTCATTAAGTATTTTAGTATTTTGTTACTTATGTTATTTTTAAGAGATATGTTATGGTTGCTGTTTGTGATGTTATGTAGTGAAAACAGGATAGCAGTGCACGTAATCCATATTTCCAAGCCTCACTTCATTTAAATTTAAATTTCAGTAGGTATTTTGAAGAACAAACATAAAATCTGCTAGGAACGATACAAAATTCTTACGAAAAGTGCAGTAGGAGTGATCAAGCTTGTTTTTAAGAAAGTGAGTACAAACATACATGGACTGTTGTGCAAAATAAAAAAGTATTATTCCTTTGTTTGTATTTTATCCTGTAAATCAAAATAAATTGATATAGGACATATCTGTCTATATTATTATCGAAATACATTAGTAATTATGGTATCAACTTATTAGAAATATAGCTTATCAGTAGCCAATATTGCAGAATACTTTATTGAGATAATCTTCTGTTTTAATAGTAGCATCCCTTAATAAGTAAGTCTTTTGATTATTTTTTAAGCTGGTTTATATTGCATGTTCGTTTTATGTTGTTAGCCTTTCTCATATTACCTGCTGAAAGCGAAAGGTGCAGGAAATAATAAGTGTACACTGAGACTTTGTTGATTATGAAGGTTTTAATGTAATAACTTTGAAAATTATGACAAAGCCAGAAGTATAATTCTGTCAGACAGTTTGTATCATTGTAAATCTTCTTGCTTTTGTGTATTACACTTGGGACCAGGATGATTAAAATATGTACATCTCCCATTTAATTTGTATATTTGATCCCAGATTGAATAACTGAATGAACATTATTACAAGATTTGCTATCTAGGAAAAGTGGTAAGAGAATATTAATACATACAAATGTTATCTTTCCAGGATGAACAACTTGTGTCTGTACTGAAAGACTTTGAACAATTCATACAGTCACGTGGCTTAGATTTACACAAGTACCAGGATATAGATATTGTTCAGTGTGGACTGCAGGAACATAGAAACAGTTATGTTTATAAGAAGGCTTTGAAGATTGCTAACGGAAGGCCCAGTAAACTGTACCTGCAATTCTTGTAAGTTATTTGCAATTACTGTTTAGCCATTTATGTAGAACAGGGATGAGAAATCTTGTCAGCTTTCTGTTACTGTTTTACTGTTTTATTTTATCACACAGATACAGATACAGATACAGATACACATAGGTCAAAGATATTCACACACACACACACACCCCTCCACCGTCTGCGTTGTGCAGGATATAAATGTCACAAAATAAAATCTGTTCAGAGGGTCTGTTCTTGTCTACACCATAAGGTTAAATAGATTGCTGTGTTACTGAAAGATTTGAATGGATCACTGACATAAAATATTACTAATGTATTTCTCCTTACATGACAGTCATATAATTTATATACTGTAATATTGTCTCCCCCTTTCTTTTTCTTTTCATTTTTGTTTGAATAAACACTCATCTGGGCCAAGGGCAAATTATAGGTTGTGTTCTGTTGAAGAAGACATCTTGTTAACCATAATTATGCTATATAACAGAGAATCTTTCCCACAAACATCTACATGATTGACATCTAAAGTTTGGACATACTGTATTGTATGGTACAGATGGGCCCTTGTGGAAAGTATGCATAATTCAGAATTTAGCTCTACTGAAATGCATTCTAAGGTGATGCTGCTGCTGTTTTGAATTTATTGTTGTTGATCAAGCATCACAGGTCTTGAATTGTATTCATTGAATTGATTTTACCTTTGAATTTATGTCTGAGAAGTATTATTTAATATTAATGTCTTGTTTCAAATGAATTTAAGAAGTCTGTTCATTCATTTGTTGATGCTGTAGCAGATATAAACCATGTACAAAAGGTTCCAGTGACCCAGAAATGCAAGTGTTAGTAATTCAGCATTTAGTCAAATATTCTTCGACATGTTGGAGAATATGTATTTTTTATTTATTTTAATGGAAGTTTTGCTTCTTTTATTGAATATAATTTATTTTTAAAGGTTTTCTGTGTTTTAATTAAAAGTATTGATATGTGTTTTGCCTAGAACACCACAATGAACTAATGTATTGGCATTTCAGTAAATTTATGATATGATTTATTTATTTACTTACTCATGGAGCTGAGCCCTTCTGGAGTAGCTGCCAATTCTGAAGCTACTCAATTTCCCGAAGGTTCATTACCGTGTTCACAAGAGGCCTCCACTGGTCCCTATCCTGAGCAAGATCTATCCAATTCATACCATCCCATCCTATCTCTCTAAGATCCATTCTAATATTGTCCACCCACCTACGCCTTGGTCGCCCCTGTGGTCTCTTTCCTTCCGGCTTTCCCACCAATATCCTATATGCATTCCTCTTATCCCCCATTCGTGCTACATGCCCTGCCCACCTCATCCTCCTTGACTTGATCAATCTAATTATACTTGGAGAAGAGTACAAGTTATGAAGCTCCTCATTATGCAGTTTTCTCCAACTTCCTGTCACTTCAGCCCTCTTCAGTCCAAATATTCTCCTCAACACCCTGTTCTCAAACACCCTCAGTCTGTGTTCCTCCCTTAATGTCAGAGACCAAGTTTCACACCCATACAGAACCACAGGCAAAATTATAGTTTTGTATATTCTAATTTTTCTATTTTTGGACAGCAAACAAGAATGATTTATTTATTTAATTTTTTAAACAAGAACAGCTCTGTAATTATTCCTAACAAACATTGCTGCATTTTGGTTAGCGCTTTTGCTTCAAAGTCAGGAGAGCTGTGTAAGAATATTAGCTGGAAACTCTTTACAATGACTAGGTTTTCTGTGGTTTTCCTCAGTCTGGCCAGGAAAGTATTAGCATAATACCTTAAACAGGCTATTGTGACTTCTTTCCTTCACCACTCATATTTATCCTGTCATTGATTTCTGTGTGAGCCGTGTGGTAGAGAAAGTTCAATTAACAGACTAATAAACAGACACTATACATATCATTCCTGTTGCAGGCTAGATCAAGGTAATTTACCACAACCAGATACACTGTCAGTAAATGAGGAAGTGTTTGCAGCCTGTTTCACATCAAAAGAGAATAAGATATTGACTTCTAATGGCAATGGTACAATAAATGTGAGTTACACTGAGAATTTTATATTCTGATAAAGAGGTTTGTGTTTACAATTGATTTCCCATATCTAGGGATATACCATACTGCTTTGAATACAAGACACACATTTTACACATTTTTTTCTTGTTGAAAAATCGAGGTGCGTCCTAAATTTAAGGAATATGCACCTTTTTAATTTTTTCCCTAAAACCCACATTCATAAACTGGATGGGTCTCAAATTTGACGGCATCGTATGTATAAAATAAGTATAAATATATATATTCATCATTTTTAGCAGGTCATCCCATTTTGAGCGATAGCCTCCATTAGAAGATTCTGCCAGACTTTTCTGTTCCTGGCTATGTGTCCTCAACTAGATCATCCATTTCTCACATCATTGGATTTCTAGCAGTAACTTTTTTGCAGAGCTTTGTGTCCAGCCCCCAACCTGAAGGACCATGTCCCTGTATTTATGTTCCCCAGTGACAGGGTATTCCAGTTATACCTCCAGGCATCAGGTTCCCTTTTCGTCGCCTTCTGTGCCTTGCCTGCCTATGGTAGAGGTATTCTAACTTGCCTTCACACACAGACCAGCCCTTATTAAAATGGCATTATTTCAGTTAATTGTGGATTAGCACCTTTAACAGAACAGTTTTCTCCATAATCGTTACAGAAAATGTTGCAGTTGCCCCTCCTACCAGGTTTGAAGTAAACACAGTTTGATGTTTTAGTTCCTCCTCTGATGTTTCCTGCATGTTCTCATTTTTTAGCTGTGGGATATGGAGTATGCTCGCATACTGTACACTTTCCAAGGTCACAGACAGAGAATCTTGCACTTGGAGCTGAGTCCAGACAGAACCCAGTTCTTGTCCTGCTCTGAAGATGCTACTGTAAAACTATGGAAACTAGAAGGTTCAGTATGCAAGAACAGGACTGAAGAAGAATTTGATGAACATGGTTTGTTGTTACATATGAATAAACATGTGATGACTTGAAGCATTTTTAATCAGCACATTGTTTACACATTAAAACACCATTACAGTGATTTTCATTTAACCTTGAAAGTGTACTTTTAAAATTTATTCTTTTTCTGTCTATGAAGTCAGGACCTTTCCTAAAATCCTGTTTTGAGCCTTGTTTTGATCTCCATCTTTGTGTTTGTCTTGTATAATTATAATTTCATGATATCTTCAGTCACATATATCTTCATTTTATTTACTTGGATTGCAGTTCTTCGTGTACCTACTAATGTCTTCAGCTATTTTAATGAACTCTTTCCTACATATGTAATTATTTACTTTTTGTTTATATATAACCAGCTGTGAATCTTAATGTTCTCATTTATGCACCTTCTTTTCTTGTATTGTCCCTGTCACTCCATTTCCATGCCTTGGTAGTGTATTTTACAGTTGGCTTAACCACTGTTTTTACAGCTTTGTATATGCTGTACTGAACATTATTTTACCAATATGCTTATAAGTTATTCCAATTATAGATATAAATATGTCTCAAATTTCTATGTATTCACAGTCTGTCTGTAGTGCGACAATTGTTTTTAACACTCAACACAACATGTTTCAGCCATAAATGGCCACCTTCAGGTGTCATGTAGTTGTATATGCCTTTAGTGCGACTACTATTTGTAATTCTGTATTTCAGCATCCTGCTGCAAATCTTTAACCAAATGTCTATGTCTGAAGATGGCCATCTATGGCCAAAACATGTTGTGTTGAGTGTTAAATGGTGAATAAAACAATTGTTGCCCTATAGATGGACTGTGAATACATAGAAGTTTGGTTAAAGATTTGCAACAGGATGCTGAAATACAGAATTACAAATAGTAATCACACTAAAAGCATATACACACCTGAAGATGGCCATTTATGGCCAAAACATGTTATGGTGAATAAAACAATTGTTGCACTATAGACGGACTGTGAATATATAGATATTTGGTTAAAGATTTGCAACAGGATGGTGAAATACAGAAATATGTCTCTTAATTTTTTAAAATGAAAAATTAGTCAGAATTTATATCTGATGTTGAAAACTGCTGTGATGTAAGATTACCATATTGTACATGAAATATGTAAACTTTCTAGACATTTTACATATATCTAATCGATAAAGGAGAGATATGTCTAATTGCCATCTTGTTTGTATTTTAATATGTATTTCTTCATGTATGATTGAGACAATGGCCTATTTTTTAATAAGAGTTAACACTGAACGAATTGCTCTTACAGTTGGCTTAATACGGTACTGTGCTATAATTTGCCTGGAGGAACTGTAGAAAATTGCAAAAATCTTGGTTAGGATAGCCTGTCTTCAGAAAGAGTTTATTCAGACCTGAATATAAAGCTGTAAGAATAAGGGATGTACAGCATGACACTAAATATGTTCTGTTACATTTTGTTTGTGTGTGACACCTATATGTCTGTAGCATATGCATCTGAATGTCTACGCCTGTTTGTAGCTACATCTAAACTGTTTTCAAGTGCTATAACAAGAAGACTGAAAAGAGTACTCTATAATGTAAAGCACAAAATTTCTGACATTGTTTGCAGTATATTGAGCTTACTTAGAGTCTACTTATAAAATTTGATTCACAATTTATGATATGCATGAAGAAGTTAATTTAAAATAAGTGAAGTAAAGTAGACTTCATTATGGTTCAGTATGGTCAGAAATTGGAATTTCTCATCAACTTTTATTGAGTCTCCCATACTGATTTAAAAATAACTGTCAGATGGTTTAGGCATTGATACTAGGACAGATATTGAGAGGCATAATCTCTGAATATGATATTTGTTTTTATTTGATGAAGAATGCCTAATAAATACACTTACCTCATTTTTTAAACAGGGTTTTCTGTGAAGACTCCATCTCCTCGCATGAGGCAGGATAATTGGAAGAACATGTTCTCTAGTGATACTGTTGGTGACAGAAGCTACAAGACATTTAGTGATCATCAGACTGGTGTGTTATATGCTACATTTTCTTATACGGGCGATGAAGTGATGTCTTGTTCCAGTGATGGCTCTGTCAAGGTACCCTTCTGTATAGTATGCCATTTAACAGTAGTGTGTTTTTAGCAATTTGTCATACTCATTGCCCTTGAGATTCTTCTGTAAAACAGATATAATTTCAGAGCTTATCCTGTTGCATAGAATCATACTTTCATGAGATAAGAGTGATTATAGATGGGGTTTGGATTGGTAATCAGATTTATTGGACACTTTGTTACATCACATGACTACACTTTACACTTCACTGTTACACACCTGAGTGTGCATAGTCATGTCTTCATTGCTGTTTCTTGGTAGTGGCTTCCAGTGGTGGACATTCCCCTTCCTGTGGGTTCCTGAACTGTCCCCGGCCTCAACTAACAGCTCACAATGACTGAACCCCAGCAGTTTTCTAACTAATTACAACTCTAAGTTGACTCTGTATTTAAATCCTTTACATTTTATGTTATTTTACCTCATTTTTATTGTGTGTGGGTATGCTGTAACTAGTTTAGAATTGTGTTGATATAAGTATTTTGAATGCTTCTTAATTCAGATGTTTGTAGTCATGTTTTGTTAGTTCCAGTTAAAGACTGCGACATGATGGCTGAAAGCTGGAATAATTTAATGAATAGCTATGGTAGTTTCTAGGTAACAGTGCAGTAAACATGTTTCTGCAGCAAGAAATAAACACGCAACAGTAGAGGAATTCTTGAAAGTGGTGTTTTCTGTGATGTCTGTGGTGAGATTATATGACAAGGATAGGAGCAGAGTTAACAGTCAGTCATGAGTTGGAAATAGTCAGAAGTCAGTGCTGGCCAGTGATAGTGAGTAGTAGCCACTGATGGCCAGACCTAGCTAGGAATTGGAAATCTTGATTTAATGCTGTTTGCAAACTGTAAATGAACAGTGACAGTTTGTAGATTGGCTGTCAAGAAACTCCATGGTTAGCAGCTGTAATCTGGTGGTGCCTAGTGAAGATATGACCAAGACTGAGACTCAACATGTGCTGCATTGATTTGTAAAGTGTGTAAAATCAGCGAGGCTGATGGAGTTACTTGTGGTGACAAGTCACATACATTCAGTAAATCCAGTAGCCAAACCAAACACCTTGTCCAGTCACTAATACATGACAACATGTTTAATATGCAATGTGTTCATTATTTATTTCTTTGCAGGTTTGGAATTGTGAGACTGGTATTGTAAGACTGACATTTCAAGTTCCTTCTCCGGGAAGTTTTGCCAACAGTTGCATATTTTCTGAAGATAGCTCAATGATATTCTTTGGTGGTAATGACAGTGTTGTTTATGTTTATGACAATGATACTGGTCATTTGATCTCAAGATTTGAAACCTGTGGTTGTGTCATTGCAATCTTGGGTACTGCGGGTAAGTATGTAATCTATGGATATTATAAATTTTGTTCGAATGTTCAGTTTTGTATCTTCGGAAGCGTTTTTGGAGTTAAGAGTTCTCATATGATGCCTTATGTCATAATTTCAAGTGTATTTTCAATGTTTAGGCTATTTTTGCTTCTAAAAGTTAAGGGAAAATTATTTTTAATAATGACTAATAGCCCTTTTATGTGTAACATATTTTCATTAAGAAGAAAGCAGTCTTCTGGGATTTGGCACCGTGTATATGTGGTGTTAACCGACGTTTCGGAGGAACGTATCGCCCCCATCTTCAGGGTTGAAGAAGTATAAGTAAATCTGCAAGCGACAACACTGTGAGACACGGTCAAGCAGACTGCTTGACCGTGTCTCACAGCGTTGTCGCTTGCAGATTTACTTATACTTCTTCAACCCTGAAGATGGGGGCGATACGTTCCTCCGAAACGTCGGTTAACACCACATATACACGGTGCCAAATCCCAGAAGACTGCTTTCTTCATAGTCACCGCCGTGAAAGCCTCAAATCTTACATATTTTCATTAATTAAGTGATCAGTCTTCTTGTATATTTTTATATACGTGGTGCAATCCAAAAGTTCTCGAAATATATTAATAAAAACTATTACGTCTTACCTGGATATTATTCTGCACCATCACCTTCAAAGTAGTCCCCTTGGGAGTGCAGACACCGATCCCAGTGTTTCTGCCGCTTTTTGAAATGCACCCTGGAAGTCTTTCTTTGTTAGGGTGTTTAGTACCGTCTGCGTTTCTGCTTGAATTTCCTCAACTGTATCAAATCTTTACCCCTTCAAATTGATTTTCATCTTTGGGAAGAGAAAGAAGACGCATGGAGCTAAGTCTGGCGAGTACGGTGGGTGGGGAACAACTGCCATCTTGTTTTTAGCCAAAAATTCCTGCACAATATAAGCTGTATGCGGTTGTGCGTTGTCATGATGGAGTACCCAGTCATTCGTGTGCCACTTCTCTGGACGTTTTCGCCTCATGTTCTCCCTCAAACACCTTAGAACATCGCGATAGAACTCTTTATTGACTGTCTGACCAGGAGGGATGAACTCCTTATGAACAATCCCGTCAGTATCAAAAAACAGATCAACATGGACTTAATGTTGCTCTTGACTTGTCAAGCTTTTTTTTTGGCCGAGGTGAAGAAGGGCTCTTCCATTGCGATGATTGCACGATTGCTGCTTACTTTCAGGGTCGTAGCCATAAACCCAACTCTTGTCTTGTGATATCCTTTGAAAGAAAGTTTGGATCCTCTTGAAGCTGTTGTTGAAGTTACCTGCAGACTTCCAGACGATGCTGCTGCTGTTCATTTTGCAGAAGTCGTGGCACAAACTTTGCCACAATCCTCCTCATGTTCAGTTCCTCTGACAAAATTCTGTGACATATACCATAACTTAGTCCCAAGGTGTTACAGAGGTCTTGAATGGTCAGTCTACGATCTTACAGAATCAGATCCCTAACTTTCGCGACATTTTCTGCTGTGGTGCCGTTGATGGCCATCCCAAACGATAGTCATCATCAGTTGATCTTAGGCCATTTTTGAAACGCTTATACCAGTCATAAATTTGTGTCTGACCTAATCTGTTGTCACCAAAAGCTTGCTTCAATATCTGGTGCGTTTCTGCAGCGGTTTTCCCAAGTTTAAAACAAAACTTTATACAGACATGCTGCTCTCTCATGTCAGCCATCGCAAAACCGCAAACTCATGGAAACCCAACAATGGAAATACGTTCACCAACAATAAACCCAACTGCCCAACTCAATGCCGCTTGCCACACTGATTCAAGAAGGGTGTGTGGCGAGACACCTAGCCACATTTCGATGCACTCATAACCATATGCACGCAAAATTCAAATTTCAGGAACGTTTGGATTGCACCACATATTTTGTGTTCATTGTATAATCCAGAAAGTTAAAAAATCATATTTAAGAATTGTGTGTCAGTAGGAAATCTAGCATGCTCCTCTTATTGAATTTGTTGTCTCTGTTGAAACTGTAAATTGGTATAGGATAACTGAGGGGCGTAAACATCAAATGTTGGTTTATGTTGGTGTCCTTCAGCTTTATAATTTTGTACCCTTCACCAAATATTAGACTGATCAAGTCAGAGAGGATGCCATGGTTAGCATTTATAACATACACACGAGAGATCAGAAACCCATAAAATTATTAAATTGGAAGTCTGAAAGAAGTAGGCTGTTTGGGATGCAAGGGTTAAAGATAAAGATAATATTAAAGTGGATGTTAAAGAAATTGCTTTTGATAATATGAACCTAGTTAATCTGGCTTAAGATAAACTCCAGTGACCAGTTATTTTGAAAATGGTAATGACCCTTTGGGTTTCATAGATGTCAGGGAATTTGTTGACCAGTCAAAACAGTCTCGGCTTCCCAAGACTAACTTTGCTTCTTGAGGATAATTAAATGTACATATGCTATGTTTTCCCAAGTACTTATTATAATTTCCAGTACAGATGAAACCCCTTACATATCTGCTGCTATTATGTAGTTCCATCACTTTCTCTTAATTTGCATTGCTTTTGCAACACTTTGTTTGAATCCCCTTCCCTCATTTTTTGATACAAATACAAAGTTAAAATTTTTTGCGGTTAATTTTGCTCATAAGGAAGAGGTTACTGTGGTGAATAGTAAATCTCTCTTGTGAAGAGAAAACTGTACTTTGCATCAGTTTACTGATCATTACTTACTGCATGCTGTACTTGAAGGTAAAATGATTTTTCATGAAAGCAATGAGACAGAAGTTTTTTGAACCCACTGAAATAAATATTTTATAACTCCCTCCCCATCATTTTCTGTATGTGTGTACATCAAACTGTTAAAACTCTTGTGTATTCATTTGGGGGTTCCAGGCATAATGCTAAGCCTGGATGCCAGCTATCCTGACAGTTTTTTTTTCTTTCCCCCCCCTGTCACTCAACAGGAATGTTAGGATGATGGCCATAACCACTGCTTCCACCTCCTGTTAGGCTCACTTTGCTATGAAAGTACCTTGTAGGCCAGATTAAGACTGCAGTTCCAGCGGACTTCATCTGTACTCCACTGTACACGTAGCATTCAAGGTCATGAAAACAAGAATAAAAGATCTGCAATAACATTGCATTTATTTCTCATATGTGATTAACTTTGACCATGTCACCTTGCAAATAAAATAAGTTGTTGCTCGGTAGACCATTGTTATTTGCTTATTTGGGAAGAAGGTCTCTATAAATTACTGAAATTCAATCAAAATCATTTGAACTGTTTTCAAGGAAATCTGCATTTAGCATTTTGGGGCCCATTTGAAAGGCCACTCTCTTTAGACCTGGGATGTCCAGACTCATTGAGCACCAGCCTAGGTTGGGATAGGCTCATGACCTCTAAATATAGACAAAACCCATCCAACTATTCATGTCCTAAGACGGTGCACATTGATACCGACCTACCTGCCTATGTACGTAGGTCATACCGAAAGTCATGAGAAACTTTTTTTGCATGCAACCTCGGAACAGCAGATGAAAGAGAGTACAGTGGTAGGTGGAACCAGCTGTTGTGTTAACCTTGAGTGTCTTATGATGTCAGTAGCTTGCATCACGTGACCAATATCACTCCTAACAAAATAGCCAACAACGATATGTCATTTCACCAGAGTCTTCAGCATGCTTATGGAAGTGTGTGCATGGGTGCGAGCAGTATTCGAAGATGGGTGAAACATTTTAAAGATGGGAACACCAGCATCGAATATGAACCTCAGAGTTATTGTCCTTGAACAGCCTCAATTGAACGCAACAAGGAAAGAGTGGATGAGATCATTCAAGATGACAGGCATGTGACTGTGGACACAGTAGCCCGAAAACTTGGAATAGGGCACAGTGCAGTACAGGAGATGATTGAAAGCTTGGGCTGTAGGAAAGTTTGTGCTCATTGGGTCCCGCGGTTATTGACTAAAGACCATAAAGGTCAGCGAAAAGCCATCACCTCAGAACTGCTGCAGAGATATCGACACATTTTAAAGATGGGAACACCAGCATCGAAAATGAGCCTTGGATTGGTCGTCCTCGAACAGTGTCAACTGAACACAACAAGGAAAGATTGGATGAGATCATTCAAGATGACAGGCATGTGACTGTGGACACAATAGCCTGAAAACTTGGAATAGATCACAGTGCAGTACAGGAGATGATTGAAAGCTTGGGCTGTAGGAAAGTTTGTGCTCTTTGGGTCCCGCAGTTATTGACTGAAGACCACAAAGGTCAGCGAAAAGCCATCACCTCAGAACTGCTGCAGAGATTTTGACACGAAGGCAATGATTTTTTGCTCTGTATTGTGACAGGTGACAAAAGCTGGTTTCACCATTTTGAGCCTGAAACAAAACAGCAGAGTATGGAATGGCACCATTTGCATTCTCCATCAAAAAAGAAGGTAAAGACAGTGCCATCAGCTGCGAAGGTGATGGGCACAATCGTCTGGGATGCAGAGGGGTTTATTCTGGTCGAATTCATGGAAGTCCGGGACGAAACATCATCATCCTGCATGACAGTGTTTGCCCCCATGCCGCTCGCCTCACATTGGAAGCAATTGCAAAGATGGGGTGGGAAGTTCTTCCACACCCCTGGTATAGCCCTGATCTGGCACCCTCCAACTACCATCTTTTTGGATTTGTGAACAATCAGCTGCATGGACAACGTTTTGAGACAAGGGAGTCAATTCAGAAAGCAGTGCGTCAGTGTCTTCAGATGACTGGAACGGAATTTTACAGAAGGGGAATTTCAAACTCCCAGAATGCTGGGAGAAATGTGTACAAAGAAGTGGAGATTATGTGGAAAAATAAAGAAAGGTCTGTAGATTGAGGTGGTGTATTTGGTTTGTCAATAATAAAGCATGTTACTTTACAAAAAATTGTTGCTCTTGACTTTCAGTATGACCCTTGTACATACACACTCAAAATTCACTTTTACATTCATATGTACTTATATACATACACTTTCTCACATATACTACTTATATGAGAAACTAGAAATACTAATGCATTAAAATGTTTTTAATTACTGTTGCTGTGACAGTAGGAAAAAAAAAAGATGTTGTTCCCATATTCCATAAGCAACATTAAATGTGTATTTGTTGCAGACAATGAAATTGCTGTGGTGACTGATAATTCTGTTTGTCTTTGGAGGTGGGAAACTGGAGATAAGCCATGCTCATCTGTTAATGCTCAAGATTTACTTAAGGAAAGGTCACATAATGTGATCCACAGTAATAAGAAAGCTGTGAACACATCTACATTGGAACTATCTGTTGTCATGCAAAATATCGTATCTGAGGAACTGGACCAATCTACATATTCAGGCTATACATGTGCTACATTATCTCAGGATCATCTGTATATCATTGTGGGAGCTTCAGACTCCTGCATTAGGGTCTGGGATATCGAAGAACGCAGACTGGTGAAGGAGTATCTCAGTCATAATGGGTTAGTTACTTTTCCACACTTGTACTACTGTGATTACGGAACTGTAACGTTCATAACCACTAATACTAAAACCCATTAAATTGATCCAGTTGCATTCACTATACATCTTCACAGTCTGTTCCCTCAAGATCCATCTAAGTGTCATCCTTACATCCCCTACTTTATCTTTTCAGAGGAAATTTTCCAAGATTTTCCCACCAAAATTCTATATGTATTTCTTATATCTGTTCCATACTATCCACATGCCCATCCAGTTGTTTCACTATCACATCAATACTAGAAGGCCTGTACAAATGACATGCATGTTTCAGTACCCATATTGATAGATATACTGGAACGTGAGTAAAAAGTTAAAGGTGTGGAATTGTAACTTACTGTGTACCTTGGCCTTCTTATGTATGTATTGTCCCAATCCTTTTTAATCTTCAGCAAATAGATAGACGGAGGTAAGTGGTTATTGACATGCAGCAGTTGCTTTATCGGTGGGGATAGAGCCCCTGGTAGCCACTGTTTAGGAAGCTGGGTTGGCCACAGAGCTCATCTGAAAGCAGTGATGAAGAGACCCCCACCAAGAAATGAACCCTGATTCTCCATCAGCCAGCCCATAGCCTGATGACTGTGCTGATTAAGCTACTTAACTTGACCGGAGTATAGACGAGTATCATATTGTAACGTGCATACCCATTGGTAGGCAGTGGAACTCTAAACATGCGTCCATAAAAATACATGACAAGAATGAAAGGTGTTTCTGTGGGGTCTTTGCTAAAGGTATATAAGGGACGACGAAGGTCCTTTGCAGGCAGTCATATAATGAGAAGTAGAATGAAGAGAGGTCTTGGTGGTCAAGATTGATTGTGAGCTGTAATAATTGATTGGAATTGTAAAGAAGTGCCAGTAAATCCAATCATCAAATCCAGAACCCATTGCTATTAGTCACACTAACCCTGGACATGTGACAATATGCTGAATGAATGCAGGTACGAAAGGGAAAAGTGATAATTAGGTAGTGTTTGAGGATTAAAATGTTGACACCTCGATTGTCTCTTAGATATTTTTTTTTTTTTAGATATATGCTTTTATATTTGTAGAGATTATAGACTGATGAGTGAGGTCAAAATCTAATCATGACTGATTAGTGGATAAGGATTGGTTACTGTGTTCGTGCATGAAAATTAATTGCCCTGTTAACCAACCCACAAACATAGACATGTCTTCCATAAAAAGCAAGAAAAGAAAACTTGGTTCTGTAACCAACCAAGTGCCAAGTCAGGGATGAAGCCCAAAACTTAACAACAGAAGATGTGATAATGTGCAACCTGGGTAGGACTGTTGCACACTTTAGGGGGGGTGATAAAAAATATGAAGTGATGATGGGAAGGAGATTACAGGGGCAAACCAAAGAAATTTAGACAAGAACCTGCTCCAGTGCTTCTTTGTCCATCCAGAAACTCACACGAAGTAAAGATATTTATTCAGAGTAGTTTCATCGTAACATAAAACAATAATGTACACAGTGACACACATTTCCTAATTAACAGTGTCTGCATGACTAAACTGTCTTTTTAATTGTATGTTCATTTTTGTACCCACTTGAAACTTCATGCAGTCACTATAATGGCATGTTTAACATACTTATATGTCAGAATTTAAATGTTCATCCTAAATTGTAATAGTTTTTAAGATCAGTAAAAGAACCATCACTATATTAAACATTTATAAAACAGTTTTTGATTGGTATTTGGAAAAAATGAAATGTACAGTATAAAAATTGCACCTTATGAAACTTGTGGCCATCATTTTGAGATTATAGCATTGGTAATTTATATTATGAAGAAAACATGTGAACACTTGGGAGCACATTTAAGGTTTATGGGCATAGAATGCACCAAAAAAAATTATTTTAGAAGAAGGATTTACATAAATTTCTACTGATGGTGTTTGTATTCCATTATAATTCAAAATAATTTTCTCCGTGATATTTGCTTGAACATAGTATTTTAGATAATATCCTAACAACAGTTACAGAGAAGGACACCTGCTCAGAAATTAGTATGGACAGGATGCTGTAGAAGTTTCTGGTATAACTCATAGGTGACTTTTTTTTTTATAAATACGAGTATATTGACTTTGACTTTGAAGAAAGTCTATTAGAATTCTAATTACCTACACTAATTGTAAGTCAGACTCTTTACCTTATCTTTAAATATATTTAAAAATCCTGTCTTGTGTTTTACCAAATTGTGTAAGATAGATGTCCCAGTTCTGCATTGTTTCATTTTTTTGAAAGAATTATTCATATGGAAGTTTCTGATACCCTTATTAACACCTTGATAATGTGCTGTTTCTTTCTTTGCAGGCGTGTGAGGTGTTTGGATACGTTCTATGGAGGCAGCTACCAGCTGTTGCTCTGTGGTTCAGATGATAAGGCCATAAAAGTGTGGCATATTGAGCCAGCCGAGCCAGAACAAGAAACTAAACTGCAACAAAATTTTGATGCTGTCTGGGATGGGAACTCTACAGATCAGTGTATACCATTACTAGCAGCTCTAGATAACCGTAATAAACTGCAGGTGCATCTCTGAATATGCTTACATGAAAGAGATAGTAATATGAGGAGTGTTTACACACTGAAATTCGTCACAAAATGTTTGAGAGTTTTATGGAAAGAAGTTTATGAAAGTGTCATGAGCTCCTTAGATTAGTATATATGTATTTATATATGTGGGTTACTTCAAAAGTCATGGCAACATAATTTTTACGAAATTTCAAAAGCTCTGACTGGAATTTTCAAAATTTGCCGCTGAGAGACAGAAACGTCTGATTTCTAATGATGCCACTAGATGATGCGGAAGTCCAAGGACAACGAAGCGAGTCCAGCGCAAAGTCAGTGTGATCATAACCTTCATCGAGAATGAACGTTAGCCGGCTGGAACAGCGTTGTTATGTGAAAATAGCAGTGTTTCGCGGCAGACATGCGACTGAATGTCACTCAGAGCTTATGGAAGCTCTGGGTGATCGTGCTCTACCATACAGAACTGTTGCAAGATGGATAGAAGCATTCCAACGTGGAAGAGAAGCAAGTGCCAACTTGCAACATAGTGTCCGTTCGTACCAATGTTTCTCGTACTGTGATCGCCCAGTGCATGGAGGAAGATGGGCGCTGGTCTCTGAAGGAGTTAGAGAGACATACAGGGATTGACCAGGCAACTATGCATCGAATTTTACGAAACTCACATTGAATTTTTTATTTCTTAATCACAATTGAATTTTTCAAGGATTAAAGAATGGAAAAAAAACTGTCATTCTGTAATGTGCAATTTTTCTTGTCTACTATACCTATGCCTCTCCACATCTACTTGATCTGACCAAGCCAATCGGAGGGGTATATCATGCATTTTCATAAGTATATTTTGAACTTTCTTCACTGTAACGTGTTTGCCCAAAACAAATTAGTTGCCATGACTTTTGAAGTAGCCCACCTATATATTTACCTGAATATGCCAAACATCTGACACTTAAAACTGAAGCAAAATTATTGCAAAATTTTTTTACATTATTCTTGAGATATTGCAGAGATCCGCTGACTTGTCCAACCATTACACATCTTTTAGATTATTACCACACCATTATTTACATTTTCAGTTACTACGAGGAAGAAACATTGTCACTGAAACTGTTCCAGAGAGAGTGGCAGTGAAGTCATGCAGGCTCTCTAGCTGTGGGCAGTTTCTGGTGTATGGTTGCTGTGATGGATCAGTAAAGATGTTTGAAGTCAAGAGCAAATCTACAGCTGTCATAATTAAATTAAGTGGTGCTGTGCATTACCTTCAGATCTGCAATAATAATGACCTAACTGTCATAGCTGCAGATGAAAACAACAGTTTAAAGGTATCTTGTATTGTGACATCTGTTGTAATGTTCTAGTTAAATGAACAAAAAGGGAAATAATTTTTTTTGTGGCACCATGCACTGAACATGTTGGTCTGGAGATAATGCTGTAGACTTGTATTTGGGAGTTGCTCGGTTTGAATCTTGGTTGGGACAACTGCTATTCTGAGGTTGAGCGTGGTTTCCTTAGTCCATCCAGTCAGAAGCTGGGATAGTGCCACATCTGTATAAACCATTAGTTGTATACCCAAAATATACATTCACTGTGCTAATGTTTTACTTCGGTTCTTGTCCCAAGTTTATTTGTTTGTAATTTTAAAATAATATTCATATAGTAATTTCATGTAACAAATATTCTGTTTACTTGTTAAAAGAGACAGTTGCTTAGAAAGTTAATAGAATAATGAAAAAAGAAATTAGAAAAAGGGAAAGATAAAAGAGCTGAAATCATGTATCTGCTATTCAGTAACAGGACACTGTAACATGAATTCATGACTTGTGAGGCGAGTCATAAATACATTGAATGTATACTGATACATATTATATTTGTGTTTTATGTAGAAGTACCTGTGTGAGATGGAAATCTGTCAGAAACAGAAAAATGTTCAGAGCGCATGGGATTCCTTTAACATCTGTGAGATTTGAGGTTTTCACGGCAGTGACTGAAGATTGCTGACATCTGAGTTTTGATACCATGTAGACTGGTGTTTCAGAAGAATGTGCTGCCCCCCATATTCAGAGAGCTGAGCAGGAGAAAAAGTGGTATGGATATAGGGAGATGGAGTACCGACCTTCAGGGCCCCAGTTCAATTACCCCTTCTCCCTGTATATCTACCACTTGCTCAGTACTCATTATTTTGGTACTCTTCCAACCTAAAGGTGAAGATGGCACAGTCCTCTGAAATGTCACTAAATATACCAGACTACTGGGAATGTCACATTCTAGAAGACATTACTCGACATTACAAGCAGGCTCCACACTTCAAAAGTCAGTACACTTGGTCGTCGACTTATGACCGACTTCCGTTCTGACTGACAGGTCGTAAGTCGCCCATATATATTCATTAACAGTATTTTTTAACATTTCTAATCTTTTTATCATCTTTATAATTATTTAAAAAAAATATTATTAATGAATTTTTTTTGGGGGGGGGTCGTAAGTGCGGCCAATCGTAAGTCAACGACCAAGTGTATTGTCATGTGATGAGTGACTGCAGACAGTGTTTGAATTGGTAATCAGATTTATTGTACTCTTTAAGACTTGTAACTACTATTAAACAACACTATCCATAATTCGCAGACTACAGTTCACTAAGTCTTCTCAGTCTGCTGTGTCTTTGTGGGTTGTCTGGTAACAGCTTCCAATGCCGCCAATTCCTCAGCTTCTGTCCTCACTTCAGGCGTCTGTCTCATAATTCGACTTGGTGTTTCTGTGCAACGACTTAACAACAGTTGGGGCTTCTACACCTCCACAAGGGGCAACATGTCTGTGATGACCTCCAATGGGTCTGCCTTCCAACTGCCAACTGCAGACTCGAGACTCTCTGTAGGCTGACTTAGCTGTGTTTTGATTCTTGACATAGCCTCTGCACAGACCCACAGACAACACCACTTCCCACAATTCCTCTATTGTTGCATGACATAGCTATCAATGTGGACCACATAGAAACCATCATTCCCAGCAGTACTTCTATTAGTTACGTGATATAGCATGACTTGTCCATTGTTCCCTCACTCTCTATTGTTCCATTGCCTAGCAACGGACATCTCTTCTGATTAAACTGTTCCAGCTTTCAATGGATATGCCACAGTATTATGAAAATTTGAATGTGCTCTTATGTTTTATGATTAATAAGTATTCCAGACATGTTTAAACAGCAAGATCTAGGATGGGAGCATTCAACATCTAAGTTAATTATTACCGTATTTACGCATGTATAGGCCGCACATTTTTTGCCAAAAATTCAAGAGGAAAACTGGAGTGCGGCTTATATTCGAAATCACGCTTCATTTAAAAAATTTATATTCATAATTAGTAATACAGGGTGTAATACTCCTGAAATAATATTCCAAGAAAATTATTTTTTCTATAATTTCTGTCTGAAAATTGTGCTGCGGCCTATACACGCACGAGGCCTATACATGCGTAAATACGGTATTTTATTAGATTTATACATATTTCTTTCAGGTGTGGAAAGGAAAACCTAATGAAACAGGGTCAGTAGTAACATGTGCTGGGCAGACTGATGTTGTGGTCCAGTGCTTTCTCGTGAGCATGAACCAGAAGCTGCTATCTTGTGCACAGGATGGGAGTGTAAAGGTAATGTGGAAGTTCTGATTAGGCTGCAAATCATGCTTTAAATTCTATGAGTAAGACATGCCTACTCTATTATAAGTGTTTAAATTATTTCTGTCTTTTATATTAAATGGTTATAGCTTTGAACTATAGCGCATTTTCAGCTATGGTCATAACTTTTGAAAATTTAGGCAGTAAAACCAGCTGAAAAATTACTTTTCACAGAATACATTTATATCTTCATCTCCAGACTAGAAATCCATTTTGTTGTTACTCTTGCATGGTAAGAATTTTTGCAGAAATGTCTGTTTAACTGCTTAAAGTTGTGAAATGTTTTAAATTTATAGTCACAAAATCTGGTTTGTAACTATTTTCTCCAAAAGGTTATGTTCTTTCCAGCAATCTTGCTAATTGGTCTGACTCAAAGCTGTCTTTGTTTCCTCCCCCCCCCACACACACACACACCTTCTTTGTATGCAGATCTTTGGTCAAAACTATGGTTTCTCTGAAGAGTACAGTCGTAAGGGATATGATGCCATGTACACCAATAGAAATTCGTTTCTATTGGACTACATAGCATCACATTTCAGAAGATAATACTCTTAATAGTCACTTCTTTGAGAGCCTGAGATCTGGTCATAGTTTCAGCTTTCTTGTGAAGAATAACTGATCATTTTTCTCAGTTGCAGTTATTTCCACACTCCAGTTTAAGTTTGCAAATGGCTGAATATTTGTATTTTGTCATTTGTAATGTCTTCCCTCTTTATAAACTTGCTGTAACATTTTGTAATTATCATTGGAATTTTTGTCCAATTTTACTAGAAATGTAATGCTGATTATCTTTTCTAAGAATTTGTTTCCTTGTTTTTAAGAAACAAAAACAATCCACCATCACAAGAGAATCCTAGTGACATACTGCTGCAGTTGTCAGTAGTTATGTGATCCAGTATGTGCCAGCTGTGGAACAGAAAGATCAGTCCTGTTATTTAATAACACAATAAAAAGGGAATGGGTGCATTGAAAAGAGCAATCCTTTTGTGGTTATAGCTGTATATGGTAGATGGTATAATTTGCAGAATAAGCATAAAGGTATATATGTTTTTAAGGAATGAGCTTAATAAGGTATTAATGTCTAGTTGATGAATTGTACATGTTGGTTAAAATATTTAATTATATAATTATTTTTCCTTTTATGAATATAGCTGTAAGAGGACTAGTTTCTGTTCTCAGAACTAATATATGTAAATTGTGACATTTTCTATGTTTGATGGCTTTGGTAGCCAGTAAGGATCTATGGAAATGAAAATAAAGATACAAGATACAAGTAAAAATGCAGTGCAAACAGGATTCATAGTTTGATTATGTACTCATATTTGAGTTCATATTTAAAATGTTTTATAATCTGTATGCCTCCTCGTTGGTGTCTCCACCTAATCGTGGTGAGGGGGTTTGAGTATGCCAAGGACCCTGAGAGCTATACCAGCGGTAGCGTAGCTACTGACAGGGCCTCGCTTGCTGGACAGGTCAAAGGGTAGGCATCAGACGAAGAAAAGAGACCAAAAACTAAAAACTGATGCCAGAAGCAGCGTAATCAGCAGCAACTTGAAGCACAGAGCAAATGATGCTAGAGATGGTTCAAGTTCATATAGCAACAAGCGTGACCAGAGTGGTTTGAACAGCTGTTGTACTGCGATGTGGAAAGCAAATGGAAAAACTACCACATTATCACTTTTCTTGGATAGTCTTTTTCCAAAAACAGAGATACCACGTATGTGAGATCCAGAAGACGAAGAAGACATAAGAAGATGCTGGATGATCTTGGGGACAGAAGAAGGTATTTGTATTTGAAGGAGAAAGCTCTAGATTGCATTAAGTGGAGGAACTGTTTTGGAAGAGACTGTGGACCTGTCGTCTGACAGATTACTGATGAATGAACGAATAATCTGTATGACAAATTGTCATTGAGACACTATAACCCACCAGAGAGGAGTACACTTTTGTGAGATCTACAACTGTTATGACATAATATTTGCTTCCTAGATGCAGTCTCGCCTATGGCCAGTACAATATGACTTCTCATTGGTGAAGTATATCTTCATAAAAGTAGAATACTGTAGGGCCAAATCAGGTGTATAATTTGCAATGTTATCAAATTTTTAAGTGGAGAAGAAATATGGTTCTACAGATCCTCTGAGAAAACATTTTAAATGTAAATTGTAAATCCAAAATTCAAAAGTAATGTAGTTCTACAGTTTAATGGTCATATGATACAGACTGTACCAGTTTTCTTCATTTTGCTGCTAAGGACACTCAGTTCCAGTTCAGCTCAATGTATTGACAGGGTATACATTATTTGTGGCAAATATAAAATGTCCTCAATATTCCATGTTCATTTTCAGATATGGGACGTCATAACAGGAAATTTAATTGATGTTCTTGCGGGACGCATTACTCAGACATTTGTCACTATGGCAGATCTGTCATCAAATGAGGACTTGCTTGTTCTCTGTTATACTAGTGGAAGTTTTCTTTTGCGGAGTCTTACCCTGTTACCACATCCACCATACGTGGAGGTCCAAGACAATTATAGTTTTCAGCTTGATGATTCTATTCGCAGCTGTAAATTGTCTCATGATGCATTATTGCTAGCCTTGGGACAAGATACTGGTAACATTATTGTAAGTATACTTTGTGGTGGTATATTGAGAAAGTACTTTCTCTTTTGTTCTTTCCTCCCTTCCTCCCTCCCTTCTCTTCTCCCTCCTTCCAGCACTTTATATAACAATAACTCTTAAGGTGAGGGCACACCAAGGAAACTGGCAACTGCAATTTCCAAGAAACATCACTGATTTCAAGCAGGCAACTGGTTTCCAGATTAGCAGGCGCACACAGAGGAAACTTACACTTCATTAGTTGCTCACATCATCTTAAGTGGGTGTGTTCATACAACTTAATATGTAATTGTAATTTTTAATTTCGTGGATTTATGTTCTGCAATGGTAGGTAATGATATTGATCCTGCCATAATGTGGTGGTTGAGACGGCATGAGAAGAGAGGACAATGACCATAAGGAAAACATTGGGATATTAATTAATTTCATTATTTGTAATTAAGGTCAGTTATTTTAATCAAGAAACAGCATATTCACACACGACACAAAAATTTTGACATTCAGTGCAACAATTTTGTCAAGCTAGAAGACACCTGATGATGGCCATATGCAGGTGAAGCATGTAGTGTGTAAGATGGATGAGTAGATAGTATGTTGCATTTAAGACTGAAATGTATGTGAAATAAATGATACATTAATGCATAAGTACAGTCTTAAGAAAAGAAAACATTGGGTGCATCCGTTCTTCCATAACAATTTAAACTTTAGTGCTTGTATTATTTAGAAAGAACTTAATGAGGTAAGATTTGAGGCTTTCACGGCGGTGACTATGAAGAAAGCAGTNTTCCCAAGCCAAATCTGTTTTGCCCCTCCTAGCATAGTCTGCATGGCATTTGTCATATACAAGGTTCCTGCTCAGTTAAATACACAAAAACAAAATTAGCAGCTTCATCAACCTTTCATTCCATCTAACGAAGCTAGTGAATCACAGAAGTATGTAGAACAGCTGACAGTAGGAAACTACGCTGCAACACATCTGTGAGAAGACCGCCTTCCTCAGTTTGCGCTGCTCCATTCAGTTCCATGTGTTCAAATCAGCCTGATACCAATTCTTCAAAATTGTGGTTATTAGTTTCCTTGAGGTGCCCTTGCCCTTAGAATAATTCTAAATCCCCCCCATATCATTATTATGAGGGAGACTAAATTATCAGTAACTAAAGTATGCTCCCTCTGTCTTTAGGATAGAAGCGCTTTCTGAAGATGGAAGCAACACATTCCTCAAGAACTGTGGTAAACATCTTCCAGGCTATGTTCACATGACATTAATATTCAGTTAACAGTTTCATTTAACTATAATCAGGGTAACGTTAATAAAATTTATAGTTTCTACAATGTAATGTGCTTCCTATATTTTATCATCACACTCTACATCCATCCTCTTTTCACCTCTCCCCCCCCCCTTCTCATTTTATTTTATCTTTCAGATCCATTGTTTAATATTTAAAGAAAGTATGTTAGATTTAAAAATGGTAGAAATTACGTACAAATTAACAGAGTTCTGAAAAGAGACATTTGTGTGTTTATCTGGTTATTGATCTATGCTTTTATAACTGAAAATAGTACATACTATTTGCTGTTGTTTCAACAAAGTAGGACTGTAGATTCAAAAGGGAATGAGTTTTTTCAAGAGTTATGTGAAATAGACAGTTTATCTGTTGTTCCTATTCAGAGTGGTCTGAAAAGGGTGATATTAAAGGATATTGAAGAAGAAAGCAGTCTTCTGGGATGTGGCACCGTGTAGATGTGTTAACCGACGTTTTGGAGGAACATATCGCCTCCATCTTCAGGGTAGAAGGAAAAATAAGAAAATCTGCAAGCAAAGAGACAGTGAGAGCAGGTGCAAGCAGACTAATGTTGGAAATAAACTCACCTATATGAGAGCAGGGAAAGGAAGGGGACAGGTCTGGCAAGCAGGAGCAAGGTTAGAGCAAGTATAGGATATTGTGTCGCGGGAGAAAGGCAAGGTTAATGGGAGGGCATTAACCCTTGAGCTAGGGGGTTGCTATGTGAGTTGGTCATGGACTGCGTGGCCTTGTGGATCTGGCGTCATGTCCTGGGAATTGTGGATTTTCTTATTTTTTCCTTCTACCCTAAAGATGGAGGTGATACGTTCCTCCGAAATGTTGGTTAACACCACATCTACATGGTGCCACATCCCAGAAGTCTGCATTCTTCATAGTCACCGCCATGAAAACCTCAGATCTTACTTAAAGGATCTTGTTTTCAAACTGTAACATTCAACACCATTAGGAAAGTCCAAGACACAAAGATTTCTATGCAACAGAGGTCAGTATTAGTAATTCAGAAGCTCAGGGTGATAGGTTGCCTTTGTATTATGTTTACTGCTGGGACAGTAACAGATTGTAAGGACTCAGCTCATACTTTGAAGCCTAAGGGAAAGTTAAGAAATGGAAAGAGCAAGTGAGCTGTTAAAACCAGAATTGAATTACATTGTAATAGCTTTCACCACTGTTGGCCATAGACCTTTTTGGGAGAGCCAAACATGCAGATCACTGGATGAAGGGAAGGAGAACAGAAAGAAGCGATTAAGTTTGCCATTTGCTTCAGTCATGCAGTGCAGCACTGTGGAAGCCTGATATTAATGTCTTGTGACTTTGCTGTATTGACACCCTGCCACCTGCTCTTTCCAAGTTACGTTCCAAAACATTACACAGTCACAGAGGAAATGTCACCGACATTTGCAGTTTTATGAAATGAGAGACAAGAAATAAAGATTAACTGACTTTGCCAGTGTACTTTAAAGGAATACAAACCCGCAGAAGCTACAGGATTGTCTGAAGGGAACATGAAAATAATTCTGAAAGAGCAAGAAGAATACAAGGAGCAGGGCACTTCATTTGGAATGCCTGGCGAGAAAAGAAACCTCCCTAAATGAATAACTGAAATAGACAACTTTGATAAATGTATTGTTCATGTCACCTACAATTTATATACACAGGAGGAAACTGTTCCAGCAGTTATTAAATTACTTAAAAAACACAAAGAAAGGTGTTCATGCCTCAGAAAAATTGTTAGAAAATAAATTAGGCTTGTATTATTTCTGGGAAAAGCTGTTCATGTAAAAATAATTTTTTGAAAACTACCAACAGATGCCTTTGGCAAAGAAACTTAAAACTAGACATAAATTTTTGTCATTGGTAGATAATACTATTCTTCAGGTAATAATAAAAATAAGATAAAAATTATCTGTAGGAAAGAAAGGCAGAAGGTAAGTAAAAAACTGTACTGCTCATTGCCATTAAACATTTAAATGAGCATCAAATATGTAGCTGGTCACTGAAGGTAGCAACAGTGAGAAGAGTTTACTGGTTATTCTTATATTGACATCGTGTTGAATATAATTTTATTGGCAATAGATTTCTATTGTTTGGAACTTTTGTGTTTTAATTTTATTCACATGTTTTGGCTGTGTTGTTTTCAGTTTTATATTTTATGGTTCTAGATATGGGATGTTACCAATACAGTAATTCTGGGTACATTGCATCTTCACAAGAGCTGTGTTCACAACCTGCTGTTTTCGCCTCCTGCAGCAGTTGCAGGTGCTCTCTTGATATCACCACCACCTATAGTATTAGTGAGTGTAGCTGATCAAATTGGATGGTGGGATGTTAGCCGGTTGGCCACAGGATCCTGTATTCAACAACGAAGGATGAGTAGTGGTCAGCGAAGGAGAAGAAGAAGTGGTAGTTCTCCAAAAATATTGATCAAACCACTTGGTGAAAGTTCTAATGGCTGTGTGAAAACTGAATACTTGGCAGATGTATGGTTTGGAAAAGAAGGACCAAAGGGGAAAACAGAATTATTAGGTTGTGTGAAGCTTCTAGGACGAGAAGCTAGCAAAGTCTCAGCAAACAGCAACTTTTCTGCATTTGCTACAGTGGATGCAAGTGGAATTGTTTATCTGATGAAGGTCTTGTAGTGATGTTGCCATTAATGTCTTGAGTTTCAAGACAGTTTGCTCAAATGCTGTGTGTACATGTAAAGGCCTTTACATATGTTCATGCATGCATTCATATATGTATGTCAGATTTTAAGAATATTATTGTTATGTTTTTCTGTGTTCTGTTTTAATAGAAATATTGTTTGAAATACATACCATATAGAACAAGATCTTAGAACAGTTCTGTTGTGTAAACTGATGTGTTTATATAGAAATTTGTTTCATTGTGACTTCTTTTTAAAGTTTCTTTTTTTGAGATGAATGATTATACCATTGAGTAATTTTTAAAAGAATTTTATGGTCTTGCTTACCAATGTTGAAGCATTTCATGGAGGTATTTTTATATTTTGTTTTATTATTGTATCATCACGTATAAGGGTTAGCTTAACAAAGTTATTTGGTTCTGGATCAGACAAATTAATTTATTGGATCATTACCAGTTGTAACTAAAATTAGTTACTACACTTTCAAGATTGCTGTATCTATGACACATCAACAATTATAACAGTCTCAAGGTTACTGCATTTGTAATACATAAAGTAAAATCTTCAATACTTCAGTTATTGAACTGCCTTAAACGCCATCCTGACGAATCGGTATGGACCACCCACAGAAAACACATAAGTTGCTCAGCAACATATCCTTTATTGTTGTCAGGTGTATCCGCCCATCCGTTACCTAGTAATGGATATCCTGTTGTTGCATATTTGTTGCCACGAGATCTGTTTTCTGGCCTGTTACCTAGCAATGGATGTCCTATTGTTGGATGTGTTTACCTGTCATTTCCCAGAAAAGGCCCAATCTGTCACAGTATAATATCTGTTTCTATAAATATAGATTACACATTTTATGTGTTGCAGAATTGTCATTTGCAGATGTCCTGTTAAAGAAAGAAATTTTACCCACAGTTTTTCATGGACAACATTTTCAACATGTTCAATAAAAATCAACGGGAAATATTTATTATGGCAAGAGAATGTTGGTAATATGCCCTCCAGAATAAACACATTTGACAGCTGAACTGCTGTTAACACAAGAGTTACAGAAAATGGAACAGATGTTTCCACTTTTTAAATGTTTAAAATAAATATGTCAGGTATCGGAATTTTCGTTCATGTTTTCACTGGAATAGCCACAAATACAGGAAATTTTAGTTTCTCATGGTAATGAATGTTGAGATTATGGTCTCCTTTGATGTGACTCCGTGCAATTCAGGAGATAACTGCCAGCATTTTGAAGGACTCTACTACCTCCGTCTTCAGAGTAGAAGAGTCCTACAGAGTTTGTGGTAATGATATTTTAAAATAGCTGAAATAAAATGTCATGTTCAGTTGCATCATCTATACTTTACCATGTATACGATAATAACGTAGAAGAATCATACAGAGTTTGTGGTAATGATATTTTAAAATAGCTGAAATAAAATATGTTCAGTTGCATCATCTATACTTTACCATGTATACGATACTATACATTGATATTGGAAGCGATGAAAGTCCTCTTCAGAATTATAAAATATGCCATTGTATGTTTGGATTTTATTCATAACAGTGGTGTTTTAAATGGCAGTACTCTTATTGAACAACCTTAGTGTTGTTATGGGGCTCTTTTCTATATCCAGTTGTACCTTCTGGAGAACTGCAATGAGCCCTTAATTCTGTTGAATAAAAATATGTAAATTCGTCCAATTGTTGTTTCAGCTCACTGTTGACTGATACTGTGATAAGTAATTGACCCAGCTTGATGACAGTTAATGCTTTTGATATTCCTAGTAGTGAGTCTTTATGAAGTAACTTGGTATTGGAAGGAAAATGCATTTGCTTCTGTTAGTTGATATTTATTTTTCCTATGTGCAAATTTCTTTAGGAATGGTAATGTACTCTTGTTTTCCTTTGTGTTTTAATTAAAATGATATAACTGGATATTTCTGTTATTAAAGTAGGCTGTTTAAATTACTTTAATATTGTTGCGAACTCAGAATAGTTCTCCCACTTATTCCCTTCAACTTTCACCGTGATCAGACCTTCAGATGGTCTGTGTGTATCTGCCTTAAAGAGCAGTGAAACCGTTATATAATTACATTCAGGGATTCAGACATTTAGTTTGATGTGTAATGTTTTCTGAGTTCTCAATTTTTCGTAATTCAGTTTCATTTACTTATTTGATTCTGTATGAAGAGTAGATTGAAATATGTAAACTGTAAGACACTTAGGATTTTTAAGTTTTATATTCAGTGGTCTTCAAGCATTCCTGCTATCAGCCATCTGTTGTAGAGCTTATTCAGGGGGCAGAAGCATCCAATGTTTCAGGATTATCTACAAATTTGTGACAGTTGTTGGATCTTTATACCAGTTTGGACATTGTTGATTGTTTGAGGTGACTACCGTTTACTATATTCTATTTAAGCATCCTGTTGCACTATACCCTTCTATATGTAATAATAGAAATGCTGTCGTGAAATGCAACAATTTATTTGGTTGTAGTTCTTTGTCTTTTCTTTCTCTACACTACACGTTTCAGCCGTAACCGGCCATCATCAGGTGTATTTTCCACTACGTAGCTGTCACACTGCACACAGTCCAAAATCTAAAATACCAGCCTGTCAGTTTTGTTTAAATTCTCGTCAATTTGATTTTAGAATTCCAATTTAAAATTTAAAATTCAAAATGTAAAGTTTTAAATCACAGGGATACCTGCTCTGGGTCTACATGTGCTGCAGCGGCTATTTCTTGTTTTCAGCACCGTTCACGTATTCTGTGCAGGCTCCCTGTGTGTGTTGCTGCTCATCTTTAATACGTTACTGTAGTGTAGAGGAAGAAAAGACAAAAGAACTACAACCAAATAAATTGTTGCATTTCACGACGACATTTACATTTTTATTTATATAGATATAGTGTGAGGTGAACTTATGTACATTATACTAAGCAAGTTGGCTGAACCAGGAACATTTCTAACATCTGCTGGATGTGCTTTGGTTAATCCTCAGCTGGAGCAGTGACTGTTTTGAAGTTTTTATGGTTTTACTCAGTCCAGTAGTCCGATCCCGGGACAGTACCTCAAATTAGGTCATGACCATTTCCTTCCACATCCTTTCCAAATCATTTTCGTTTATCATAACATTCTCTGCTATACAGTCTGAACTACTGAAAGTACTGTTAAATAGCCCAAAAACATATATACATAGTGTTTCAAGCGTTTCATTTACTACTGTTTTCATAGTATTTTAATGCGTTAGTTTAGTAGCTGTGATTATAAATTAACCTGGAATACCAACATCTAAACATTTGGGCCCCAATACTTGAAAGATGCCTGATTAATGCCAACCATTTCCATTAATCTTAATAAAAAAATTCCAGTATAATTTCATGCACAAGTCGGATGGCAATAGAGCCAACCCTGAACAGTGTTCAGCATATCCAGTAAAATAAAGTGGTGCTTATGAAGTAGTGAAAAATAAAGCAGGAATGTGTGCAATACTGATCATATCACAAGCACTGTCTGTAATGAGGAATTAATTTTGTGGAAAGATAATTTTCTCTGTTCTTAATGTAGAAGTTTTTATTACAGAATATGTATTACATGGCACAGAAATACTAAATATATATTTGTGTCATAACCCACAGTTTTCAGTTATGTAGAGATCATCTTGCTGTGGAGGCTTTACTGTGTATTTTGTGTTAGTATGGAAACCGGCACATTAATGTGTATACCACAGACAGATTCAATCATTCTTTTCTAGGATTTGATGTTTTTTTTGCAATTTTAAGTTTTATGTTTGAGTATGAATACATTTCTAAAAAGATATGCTTTTTAAGTGTTGGATTTTCATCTCGTATATACAGGTATTCCTTGACTTCAGCATCAGCTGTTTTCCAAAGGGGTGAGAGTGCATAAATCAAACGTAGTTTTCTTTCCCCTGCATTCCACTCTGCCACTTGCACAATACTCTTCTTGTCCTGCAATTGAAATTTGTCTAATCTAGTTGAGCACATTAAAATGAAAATACCTTTTATGAACTCATGGGTAATGAGGCGCACCTGTATGTAAGCTACTTCAATGTGTACAGAGAAACAGTAAGGTGTGTGTATGTATAAAAATCATCATAGTAGTTTTGCTCACTTTATGTTGTGATTTTCAACCCGGTTTTTTAAGTGGACTTCACAGGTTCAAGTACAACATAAAATCTCGTGGAAGAAAATGAGGTTATGTTGGGTACATTTTTAAATATTTAATGCTTGTTCAGGTGAACTTTCTGGTCTCCAGAATTTAAAAGTAGTAATGTCAGACTTTTTTTAATGGTCAGTTTATTATTATTATTATTATTATTATTATGGCCAGAAAAATTAAATTAACATTACATGTCTTCAGTATTGATGTTACAGTATTGAATTATTTGAAAGGTTTTTTGTCCTACTTTTCATTATGTCTGTTACTCGTATTTTCTCAGTAATTACATTACTATCTCTTTTTACATCACCAGATGTAAGGTACAGGGGTATCACTGTTTAAGGTTCCTATGGGGAGCAGTAGGTATGCACACCAACTGATGAAAACATTTATTGACTTGGGATCATCGGAATTGAGTGTTAAATGGTGGAAGACCTTAAATTAAAGAATAGTAAATGGGGGTTTCACTGTGTGTCATAATTATAATCCCATGTTAAATATACTTAAGGAAACTGCCATTCTCAGAGGATTTTTTTTTTTGTTCTTTCATTTCCTTTACAAAGGCACTATAAATGGGAATAATAGTAAATACATCTATCTTTTGGTTATACAGCACTGAATGCATTTGTATCCCCAAAAGTAATCAGTAAGGTCACAAATTTTATACATTTCATGTAAGATATTGTTTGTTATTGTTTTTCATGAGTTATTGTCATAAAATTTAATAAAGAAAGTGCATAAAATCAAGAAGTCATGCCTGTCTTTTTGTGTTTTATCTGAAAAACTGCATGATGGATTTCAGTGAAGTTTAATGTTGGAGGGCTACACTAAAATGTATCATGTAAGTTTAACTTTCATTTGTACTGTTTCAATGTAATGCCTGTTTTGCATAAACCAAAAATCAACCTATGTTGGTTTTCTCAGAGAGGCTCATTGTACAGGATATGTATGCATGACAAAAATTGTGTATTTCTTTATATCCATAAGTGTTACTACCCATATTTTTAGAATTGTGAATATTAAATAAAATATGTCAGAAAAATAGTTTGTAACTTGTATGTGTTATTTGTAGTACTGCTGGCTGTATAATAATAGATTTGTATCTGTAATAAATGATCATAATTGTGAGTGAGGTATATAGAGTGGCAAGGAATACACTTGGAAAATATGTGTACTTCAGATTAGGGTCTGGAATACAGCTTTCCACTCCCTGTAATTTTATAAATTCACTGAACTTGCCACAGGCACCAAAGTATATAGTTATGTGTTGATATTAATATAACTCTGATCCTGTAGAAATTAAGTCAGAATCCAAATTTATGCACAGTAGATAGTCAACCATGTTTGTTAATCCATAAGCCTCAAGCAGTGTGTATTGCATTATTTAAATACTGCATGTTGCATTACAATGCGTTTGAGTAGTATCTGCTATGAATCTTACCCTAGTACCAGTTGTGAATGAGGCTTTTTGTGTTATTCATCAGTCTCTCATGTTTGAAACAGTTACCAGTGAGCAGCCTGTTATCTTTTACAGCATTATATGCATTTTCTGAAATCAGCCCCTCACTTTCACATCGATCCTATTCCATTGTCATATTAATGTGCATGTTTTTCCTCCAATTTCATTGGCTATTTTCATAATCCAAAATTGCCTATCAACTTTGAATAATAAGATTACTGTATTCTGCAATATGACACCATGGAACACCCATTTAGTATTCTTGATTTAAGGTTTTCCCTTGTCTCATGTTCAGTTTCAGTAATCACAAGTCAACCTCAGTATTATATTACCTCCATTTAAGAGTTTTCCCAGTTTAGTGTTCAAATGCACTGCTCCCTAAAGAAACCTTAATTGGGATTTCACTGTAGGTCATTACCAATGATTCATAGGAACAAGCAGCCGCCCATTTTCTCCCCTGAAGATGGAGGCAGCAGGTTACTCTGAAATGTTGGTCAGTAACAAGACATCACATTCTAGGAGACCATGGCTTTAATAGTCACTGCCATGAGAATCCCAAACCTCACTAAATGAATAAGATTATGATCTTGGATTAGTTTTGCAGATAAGTACATGTTTTGGAGGAACTTTTTGACTCTGTTTTCAGGATATGTACCTTGAAGATGAATTCAGTAGGTTCCCCCACAACATTAGTACCCATGTACCAAACTTTATGGCATTTCATGGCAGAAGGATAGCTTCTCTGATGATTGAGGTAGTAAGTTCCAGGAAATGTTTGTACCCATCAACCAAATTATACAGTGTCACACCTCAGAAGACCATAATATTGATACAGCTACAAGAATCTGTCAACCACAACATCCATTAATGTTTTCTCCAGCATGGATAATCATATGAAAAGGCCCATTGCATTCCTTATTTTCCCACATTTATTGTTCTTGTGTCTCTCTCCAGTCATATGTTTTGTTGGAACTTTCCACTTCTTCATATACCCAAAGGTCATTATCTGGTATCTTTTTGATAAAGGTTTTCAGTAAGATTTGACTGTGCTCTATATTTTCTTTATTACGGCAAACAGAATTTTATAGTTGGAATAAGAGAGAAGACAAGTTATACTAGCATTAACAAAAAGAGCAATTTATGAACCTACAATGCCCATAAGAAAAGACAGTATGGAGGATGTTACCAAGTAACAGCTTTATGAAAATTCTTCTTAAAAAAAACACTAATTAGCTAGGTTTCATAAAGATGTTAGGCACTGAAGGAATTCTAAATTCTTTTACGAAAATTTGTTCAGTGAAAAAGTGGCAGATTATTCATAATTCACATAGAATATAGGAATATTGCACAAAAATTTAATTGTTATTGATGTACATTATGTCAGAGATCCTTTAAATAGGACAAGGCTATTTAGCATGTAGCAATTTGCAAACTTTTGGTAACCTTTGACATAAAGTTATTTAGGTTCCAATGTTATAGTATTCATAATTTCTTGAAATAGTGTTTTATCCTGAAAATGTTTGACACCATCATACCTGACTCATCCTGGTTTATCATTCTATGTATTATATACAGTTTTCTCATTTCTAGTTAAACATGTGAACGTTATTTCCATTACCATCGGTAGTTTAGACTCTAATATTAAGAAAAATGTTTGCTTCACAGAAGCACAAATTTTATTTGGAAGTTATATATTTCCATCTATGATCTTAGATTTTACCAAAAAATTATAGTTGCTTGATAAATGTAACATGTTACAGATGACTTTCATACAAAACGACAAGTTTCAGTACAACTATGGTACACACATAGATAGACTGCCGATTGTATTTTGTTGTTTCATG